TTATAGGTTAAACTGAACACGAACAGGTCAGGCTTTATTTCTGTAAATTGATTAGTGAGACACTGGATTGTAGCACTATTTGTGTAGCTGCTGTGGAAGATTCATGAATATACTGTAAGCTAACCTGACTGACCCCATCATTTCAATTTTTTCCTGCTCACATCTGTTCAGCCACTTTTCCTCCTCCACTGGCCAAACTGTCTTTCTCTCTCTCTCTCTGTGTCACCTGGTGTTTCCATTTGTCTCACTGGATCGTTCTCATGCACAATAACTGTTTTGACTAATCCATCTTTAGAGAAACTTCCACTGCATCATGAACTGTGCAGGAAAGCTAAATATTTTGTTAGGTCACAGTCATCAAATAACTTATCATAGAGTTTATGGTACTACTTTCTATTAAGGCACTGTTTATAAATGGTTTAAACATAGTAACTAATGGCTTTATTGAGTCATTTTTGTGCTGCCATGTTGTGAAAAGTCCCTTGGACCACATGGAAAGAGGATATGGACGAAATTACATTGAGTGCCAACTTTTTTAAAAATGTGTCATGTTTCCTTGAAAGAGCTGTTCTAAGTTATTTGAGTTGTGTTTATAGGCAGTTTTCAGAGGAATTATCTTGAAAGACCAACTGGAAATCATTTAGAACCAAAGTAATTCATTTATCATTGAAAACTCTACATGCATTGTATGCTGTGGTGGCCACTTCTGACCCCTTCAGTCAAAGCAATGTCTACAAGGTTTTGGTTTTAGTTGAACAAAAAGTAAAAGTGGGTCATTTTGAGGCCTGAAGACAAAAACATTATCCAGTAATACAAACGAAAAAAAAGCAAAGATTACAAGAATTCTTGAGGAATTTTTCTGCTTTTCTATCCTTTTAATTGTCACACAACTCTCTGCATTGTTGTGTGACCTTCTGGGAGGTCATTACTCCTCCATTTGGAAACCAACACTCTCAGTTATAGAGAATTTAACTGGAATTTGTGTAACAATTCAACAATGTCTCCATGATCCAATTAAAATTATTTCCAGGAAACTTCTTAAAGGCGCCCTCCCCTCAGAAATATGTTTTTCTTCTTGTTCAGTACAGTTGGATGTTTGATCTTCACTGTGCAGAATGATGTCTCTGTATAGTTTGACACTAGAAGGATGTTTTCTCTTTTTTAAGGGGCGGGGCTTACGAGAATGATTGGTGACATCACAAATAGTTTGGAGGTCAATCCTGGTCCAGTATGCAACTTATAAAAGTGTGATCCACCAGTGCACATACACTGAGAATTGACTTTACAGTGCAGACGGAGACATCTTGTGTTAGAAATTTGCATATTTATTTATTCTTTAATTTTAAATGAGGTCGAAGGAGAAAAGGAGTAGATGCCAGTTTGCTTGTTGTTTATGTTGTAATACATATCTGGAGAGGTTCTTTAAACATTTACTGACTCTTTCTGGAAATAATGAGGAAACTATGGGACCTGTAGTGTTGCCAGAAACCACAAAAGACAGATAAAAGCCAATTATGTTAAATGCTGTGAAAGATGTTTCTGATCAGTAAGGGGGAAGCAAAATAAATTCCAAAGACTGAGACAGACAAACACATTTTCCACTTATGTTGGCTACTTCACGCAATAATCTGGATTTCTGCTTGGAGGTGCGACCGAGTTTGTCTGCCAAGCATCTGCTCTCCGTCTTGTCTTGTGGGTCACGGACATGAACGCAGATGAGACCTTTGGCAGCCATGTTGGATTATGTTCCTCTTTCTCCCCCCTTTCTTTCTCTCTCTCTCTCTCTCCCTCGCTCTCTCTGTCAGCCATTTTAATGCTGAACTCATACAGTCTGGCTGGGCGGTGTAGGAACAACCATCGGGCTCAGCACTCCTTCTCCATGCCAGGCAGGAAGTGGCCAGGACAGCTGCTTGCAATTCAACCTGAGACTTTGTTTGGGTGACCTACATTATGGCACCATTTACTTTCTACTGTAACTTTAGTAGCACTTTTTCTTTTCTCTCTTCGTCTTCTCGTTTCGCCTGACTTCCTGTACTAGAAAGTAACTAAGTACAGTCAGAGACTATACTCAATTGAAATTTTGAGGTGTTTCCATTTTATGATACTTTATATGTCTTCTGCACTACATTTCAGGGGCACTTTAAACACTTCTGTATTTATCTGACAGCTATAGTTACTACTTCTATGATCTAGAGTTCACATTACAATGATTAGCTTATATAATATGATAATTAGTATAGATTAGGGCAGTAATTCCCAACCTTTTCGGCTTGTGACCCCTTACAAAAAATCTACTTGTGGCTCCTTGTCACATTTTGGATGTGTATGAGTTGCTAGCAGCTCCACCAAAGACACATTTCCATCCTTGAGGGCCAAAAATGTAAAATGACGCAATATTTTACAAAAAGTAAAGATTAAAGGCCAAAAAATGAATACAAATTGGTGAAACAGTACTTTTTCTTTTTTCCTCTTCCATTAATCATCTCACAACCTCTCAGATTGATCTTGTGATACTTGGGAGCCAAAATATATGACAATGTTATGCTATGTAAAATTACATATCTAATACATTATATGGCCATTTCGGGCAATGTTTCTGCATTAGAAATACTTGAATTTGTTTTTACAAAAGTGAATTTTCTTGTAATGGATTATTTTTACATCAATGTATTGGTACTTGTACTGAAGTAAAGAATCAGTATTTCAAATCTCATCTTTATCTTGTACAGAACAAACTCCCACTTAGCACAGAAGCATTTTAACAAAGAGACATGGAACAAGAGTGAAAATAATCTGCACTGATGGCCCAAAAAATGCTAATTTTGCTGCATAAAGAGCAAACAAATATCTCAAGTACCAAGAAAGCCACAAGGTTTACTGTCCAACCAGCAACAAACAAAGATAATTGCAGCCTGCAGTGCCAGTTCTCATACAGTCATGTACAGTTCAAAATGTTCAGGCTGTGTAATTTTGTCAAACATGCTACCCAGGGTGCCCCACACTCCAGGAACACCCAGCCCAGGTCAGGAAGCGGTCTTTGGGAATGAGCTGCTGAATCAGACCGTCTGCAAACCCCCACACCCCTCCCCACCCCATCCCGCCCCCCAGAGTCTGCACCAGGGCCCTGCTCATCCTCCTGCAGCCCCGTCCCAGTCATATCTGCCAGGAAACCCTCCCTGTTTCTGGTCTGCGGATGAAACTACAGAGGCCCGTCAGCTAATCCCCGTCCTTCGTCCTCCATCGAGCAGACTGACCTCACCCAACGCACCCTAACCCCCCCTACTCCCTCTCTCCCCCCCACCCCCTTAAAACACCCACCGACCCTCCCTCGTTCGCTGACTTCTGCACAATAAGCAACATCTGGTTCTCATTTCCCCAAAACCAAAACAACACAAGGAGGAGAGGAAGGGAGAAATGGGGGAGGATGGGAGGAGTCGGAGGAGAGGTTGTCGGAGTAAAAGACATTCACAGAAAAAAAGCAGGATGTGAAAAGACGGTGCGTCGAGAGAAAGAATGAGGAGTTAGATTTCTCACTGTGGGTGCAGTTGGAGGTCTTTGATGGTCCAGGTGTGAGGATGTGTGTGTGTGTGTGTGTGTGTGAAGGATATCGCCTTGTTAACCACTTTGACATTTCATACAACACCCTCTGTGGCCTGCTCAACGTCCTCCCACACTTCTGTAACACAACAAGCAGTCAGCTCCTTTGGTCAACTGTATAAAAAAAAAAAAGTTAAGACAAGGAGAGGAAGGAGGGGTGAGGGGGTGAAAACTCCCATCTCCACAGAAAAGAATCTGCAACTCAGCGGCTAGCAGCCCTAATTACAGTGGGGCTTTGCTGAAGTCTGCAACAAGACAAAGAGAGAGAGAGAAAAAGAGGCAGATGGAGGGAGAGAGGGGAGGCAGAAAGCAGGAGTGAGTGGGGGGGGTAAAGAGAGGAGAGGCTTACCTCATTTTGTAAATAGTCTGTTTATAAGTCAAAGTCACCCTAAATTAGTGCTGACTTAGCAAAGACACAGCTGCTCGGCGTCTCTGCAAAATGTCCCTTCACACCATAAACGCATAAGACTAAAGGTTACGTTTCATTCTCTTTAAAATGATTCATCAGTACGGTGGTGATGGTACAGAAGATTCCTGCAGGAGACCCTCAGTCAAAACTTTGAAAAGGGCACATTAAAAAGAACTGGAATCAGATTTGGTGCTTCACGGCTGATTTATGTTGTTCTGCTTTTAAAATTAGATGATGCAAAACACAAGTGTTTCTGCAGCCTTATTAAGACTTCACCCAGCTTCGAGTTTTGAGCCGATACCAGCAAATATCGCTTTTCTTGCGGGATGAGACTTTCTGCCAGCTTGGCTGCAGCCGGCTAATCATCTTTCCAGACAGCGGGCTCGCAGTACAGCACACTTCAAACTTTTTCCTCTCTGTTGGTAGAGATGCCCCATGAAAAATAAGAACTAAGTTGCTTCAAATGAGAAACACAAGAGCCTAAATGTTGCCAGAAACATCCTTATCTGTCCACAAGCATCAGTGAGTAATATCTTACACTTTTATTCTTCAATGTTGCTACTTAATTTGTGCAAATTGCTAATTATCCTGGTGATGGTTTCACATAGGGTTTCCTTTAATGGCTCAATTAAGCTGCTACACCAAGGCCGACCTGAGCAATCATTCATCATGTGTTTTACTACAGCGTGCCAAGGTGTGAACCCCTCACAATCTCTCTCTCTCTCTCTCACACATATATACACAGTGAGGTCCTGAATCAGAGCCACTTTATGTCTGCCAGCTCCTCCCTTCCTCTGCCTGCCCAAAAAAACTCCTCTCTGAGCCCAGAACCAGACAAAATGGCGTTTTGAGCCTCCACACCGCCTGAGAAAAAAGGAGAAATGCTGCATCCTAGTGGAAGCTGAGGGACATTAAATAACTAAATACAGCTATAAAAGTTTTCCATACAACTCATCGCTCGCTTACAGGACAGATTTCATCATCATCATCACAGTTTCAGATAAATCAGAAACATTTATTGCAGAAATGTACACAAATTGTAAAGAAGAAAACACCACAAGTCCTCACAAATATACAATAGGCTGACAATCAACATATTGTTCAGAATAAGGATATTGCAACATGATGACGATGATGATCTTGCCTCTAACTTTGAGGTTTTTTCTTCATTAATAGACTCCCTTTAGGTTTGAGTAAAAGAGACTTCTTGTCCTCCTCCATACTTTTGGCCGCTTCCTGTTTTTCCCTCCAGGCCTCCATTCCTCTGTCCATCTCCGTGCTCAGCATCACGATACGTCTCTGCGAGAGAGAGAGAGAGAGAGAGAGAGAGAGAACGCCGAGGTCACAGACAGAAAGCGTGTAACAGACGCAGAATGAGCGATGCGAAGATCCTTAAAATAAAGAAAGCAAATGTGTTGATGCTCACCGCTAGATCTTCCCGCTCTTGCTTTCTTCTCAGCTGTCCCTTCATCAGAGGCGCTGGTCTTCCATCTGTCCGGACACACCAACAAGAAAAAGTGAACACACACGCGAGAAGTTATAAAATGTTCTAGAAGTAGGTCGACATTTTCTCCAACTATTGCAAGCAGAGGAGAGAAATGTAAACTTGTTTTTGGCATCAGATAGTTTACCCTGAAGGTGAACTCAATTACACACACACTGTGTCGTTATGTGAGCTCTGAATTAGGCTTCTGTTGCTTTAAAATACCTCCGAACGTCTTCACAGAAACTACAATTCAAACTAAAAATTACCTGCATACGACCAATCAGGCAGATCTGTCATCGGGCCATATTCTGTGCCGCTCCGGGCCAATCCCTGCCTGCAAGCAAACACAAACGGTATGAAATTAGAAACCTTTCAGTGTGGTAGTGATGAGGGCATGGACAAATTAATTATTAAAACATTTAAATATTTAAACAAAATAGGAGAAGCTCTCAAATAGGGCTGCACAATACGGTAAAAAAAACAACATGCTGTCATTATTTTGACAAATATTATGGTTGTGATGTGATTCATGATTAGTAGGAATCAAAGTATTTGTGTCACAGTTTTCATTTTTGTTACTTAAAAACACTTGAAATCACGTTGATGTGACCTTTGTTGGGGTTTGTACTAAACAAACATGTTTTCTTTCATCTGGAGAACAAGATTTGTAGACCAGGTAATCTCTACAGCACTACAGTACTTCATTATAATGCTGTTTTATCACACATTTGACCTTTATTAAGAAACTACTGCTTCTATAATTAGGATATTGCACTTAGCTTTATTGCAATTTTCATAATATTTCAATTAATTGTGCAGCCCTGTACTAAAAAATCTAATATGAACGGGGTGTGTCCTATTTGGCCAACACTTTCTGGTATTGATTTTGGAGTCAATAAGTCACATATGTTAAAATCAATAACACATTAACAATAAATCAAAGTGTGCTACACGAGACCAATTCAGTGTTGTTTAATCATTTTTTTTTAACTAATATAGGCAACTCAGTATGAAGTATTGGGGGGTAAAAAACGTCACTATTTGTCACTGAAACTTATCGATCGCCCCTAATCACTTGCCGTTACCATGGTAACCACTTTACCTGAGGCAGAAAAACAGTAACTAATGAGTTATTAATAGTTTTGATAATCAGGAATAAGGGCCCATAAAGAAAGTGGTCAGTGTGTCCATTGACAGGCATTAATGACGCAGTGTAATCAATATCTATTGATTATCTAATATGTTCCCAATCAGCACTCTAGTAACGTATTGATGATGCACGTTAGTGTGTTATCTCCGCACTTACTCTTTCCTCCATTTCTCTCCTGCCTGTGCTCCACGTGTTGTGCTGAACTGTCTGCTGGAGAGTCTCAACACTGGAAAACAAACAAACAAACAAACAAACAAACAACAGTCACCTGTCTTCACCTACAACGACCTCAAACACCCAGGAAACACTGAAGAGCACATACAGACTGTAGCTAATGAGTAAACTCTTCCTCCAGAGTGTGTGAGCTGAGTGAAAGCTGAACGTGAATCCGTCTAAAAACAGATTTATTGTTATTTTCTTTCCTCGTGAGTTTGCAGCGACTGTTAGCATCAGCGTTAGCCTCTGCTGCTCGTCGTTACTGTGTTTAGTTATTAAAACATATATTTGTATCAAAGGCCGCGACTGCGACAGAGAGGGAGTATTCACAGCAACGAAACTCAGCTTTAATGTTTTTTAAACGGGTCACAAACACAATATATTCAGTGAATAACCTCTGTCTCACCTGAGCAGCACCACGTCCTCACGGGGGTCGCCATCTTGTCTGCGCAGTTCAGCGTCGACCACCAGAGGGCGCTAAAGACACAGTGTGTGTGTGTGTGTGTGTGTGTGTGTGTGTGTGTGTGTGTCTGTGTGTGTGCGTGTGTGTGTGCTGTGGCGTGTGTGTGTGTGTGTGTGTTGTGTGTGTGTCTGTGTGTCTGTGTGTGTGTGTGTGTGTGTTGTGTGTGTGTGTGTGTGTGTGTGTGTGTGTGTGTGTGTGTGTGTGTGTGTGTGTGTGTGTGTGTGTGTGTGTCGTGTGTGTGTGTGTGTGTGTGTGTGTGTGTGTGTGTGTGTGTCTGTCTGTGTGTCTGTGTGTGTGTGTGTGTGTGTGTGTGTGTCTGTGTCTGTGTCTGTGTGTCTGTGTGTCTGTGTGTCTGTGTGTGTGTGTGTGTGTGTGTGTGTGTGTGTGTGTGTGTGTGTGTGTGTGTGTCTGTGTGTGTGTGTGTGTGTGTGTGTGTGTGTGTGTGTGTGTGTGTGTGTGTGTGTGTGTGTGTGTGTGTCTGTGTGTGTGTGTGTGTGTGTGTGTGTGTGTGTGTGTGTGTGTGTGTGTGTGTGTGTGTGTGTGTGTGTGTGTGTGTGTGTGTGTGTGTGTGTGTGTGTGTGTGTGTGTGTCTCTGTGTGTGTCTGTGTGTGTGTGTGTGTGTGTGTGTGTGTGTGTGTGTGTGTGTGTGTGTGTGTGTGTGTGTGTGTGTGTGTGTGTGTGTGTGTGTGTGTGTGTGTGTGTGTGTGTGTGTGTGTGTGTGTGTGTGTGTGTGTGTGTGTGTGTGTCTGTGTGTCTGTGTGTGTGTGTGTGTGTGTGTGTGTGTGTGTGTGTGTGTGTGTGTGTGTGTGTCTGTGTGTGTGTGTGTGTGTGTGTGTGTGTGTGTGTGTGTGTGTGTGTGTGTGTGTGTGTGTGTGTGTGTGTGTGTGTGTGTGTCTGTGTGTGTGTGTGTGTGTGTGTGTGTGTGTGTGTGTGTGTGTGTGTGTGTGTGTGTGTCTCTGTGTGTGTGTGTGTGTGTGTGTGTGTGTGTGTGTGTGTGTGTGTGTGTGTGTGTGTGTGTGTGTGTGTGTGTGTGTGTGTGTGTGTGTGTGTGTGTGTGTGTGTGTCTGTGTGTGTGTGTGTGTGTGTGTGTGTGTGTGTGTGTGTGTGTGTGTGTGTGTGTGTGTGTGTGTGTGTGTGTGTGTGTGTGTGTGTGTGTGTGTGTGTGTGTGTGTGTGTGTGTGTGTCTGTGTGTGTCTGTGTGTGTGTGTGTGTGTGTGTGTGTGTGTGTGTGTGTGTGTCTCTGTGTGTGTGTGTGTGTGTGTGTCTCTGTGTGTGTCTGTGTGTGTGTGTGTGTGTGTGTGTGTGTGTGTGTGTGTGTGTGTGTGTTGTGTGTGTGTGTGTGTGTGTGTGTGTGTGTGTGTGTGTGTGTGTGTGTGTGTGTGTGTGTGTGTGTGTGTGTGTGTGTGTGTGTGTGTGTGTGTGTGTGTGTGTGTGTGTCTGTGTGTGTGTGTGTGTGTGTGTCTCTGTGTGTGTCTGTGTGTGTGTGTGTGTGTGTGTGTGTGTGTGTGTGTGTGTGTGTGTGTGTGTGTGTGTGTGTGTGTGTGTGTGTGTGTGTGTGTGTGTGTGTGTGTGTGTGTGTGTGTCTGTGTGTGTCTGTGTGTGTGTGTGTGTGTGTGTGTGTGTGTGTGTGTGTGTGTGTGTGTGTGTGTGTGTGTGTGTGTGTGTGTGTGTGTGTGTGTGTGTGTGTGTGTGTGTCTCTGTGTGTGTGTGTGTGTGTGTGTGTGTGTGTGTGTGTGTGTGTGTGTGTGTGTGTGTGTGTGTGTGTGTGTGTGTGTCTGTGTGTGTGTCTGTGTGTGTGTGTGTCTGTGTGTCTGTGTGTGTGTGTGTGTGTGTGTGTGTGTGTGTGTGTGTGTGTGTGTGTGTGTGTGTGTGTGTGTGTGTGTGTGTGTGTGTGTGTGTGTGTGTGTGTGTGTGTGTGTGTGTGTGTGTCTGTGTGTGTCTGTGTGTGTGTGTGTGTGTGTGTGTGTGTCTGTGTGTGTGTGTCTGTGTGTGTGTGTGATTATTCGCGTTTGTTGTTGTTTATTTGGTCTTTAAAACCTGTTTTCATTCATTGTTTTTTACTCAATAATGAACAAAAACCAGTGCAGCACTACAAGAGATATAGAGTTATATGTTAATGTAATACAGGATCACTCCAATCGTGTCTCAAAGGGTCTAAACTAATAAAATATGTAATAATATGACAAGATAAGTTGCTATTAAAATGATCTCAGAGGTAAATTCAGGTGTACAAATAGTCCAGTGCAGATGAAGAGAGACCATTTAAAATAAATAATTAGAAGTATATACCATAAAATAATAAATAAATTAAAATAGAAACTACATAAGAACAATTATCAATAATAATTGTAGTGCAAATAAATAAACAAATCAAACTGAAGCAGCTGAATATTTATTATTATTTATATCTGTCAACATATCGTCAGATTATATGGTTATAATATTATTATAGTACCAGTTCTTTCTCTGTTTTATTACATATAATGTAACACTATTACACCAAAGAGGCTTGAACACTGCTTCCAGTGGGAAAAGATGTAACTGACTGATACTACAACACTTTAATATAACATTATCTTCACTGTTGTTAGTTAGTGAACGTACAGGCGTGTGCTTTTACATATCCGCCACAGAACAAGCCTAAACTGTAATCTGATTTATGGGTAGTTTTGCCCATTTTTGGCCTATTAAAGGCGTCCGATAAGGAGATATTCAGCATTTCCTCACTCTTTTCTGCCCCGCTCGCTGACTCCAGTCCAGTGAGGCCTCTCGGGTCATCCTGTGGTGGTTTTCTGACTGTAACATGAGATCCAGATTCAGTAAGAGTGCTTACTTTAGTTACTTTGGCCCCACGCTCTCTGTTTTTTCAGGGTTATAAATAGCGTGTCGTGTGCTGGTGGAGTGGATGTTTTTCAGCTTTCTCTTTATTGCTGTTGCACTTTCTTATATTGTATATGTGTTGCATTTGTTTAATCTTAATATAACGCACACTGTTAACCTGTATGTTATTTCATTAAAACATTAAAGGAGCACTGCACTGATTTTACATGTCACCGTCAGATATATAATGTCTCCTGTAGTCTCTGGATGACCGTAGTAATGTTATCAGGGTTAATTCAGCTTGTGACTGGAGGCTAAAGAAGTGTGACTCCTCTTTACAGGTTACATGTGAATGGTTCACCCTAAGAATGTGTTTTTCTTCCTCAGATTGTCAATTTCTAGAGGTCTGAAGAAGTCACAGTGTCTAAAATACTACAAGAATAATAGCAAAATATGAGAAAAGTTGCATAAGAGTGAGGACACGATGCAGCTTGACCCAAACTTTGGACTTTTAAAACCTATTTCTCATGAGTCCAACCACTTTATACTAACTCTAAGTCCCTTTATGTGAAGTTACTCCAAACAACGCCTCATTCCAACAGATGATAATTGTGTTTATGTCTGCCCTTTGAGGAAATAATTACACAAATACCCACTCAGGAGGGAAAATACAGACGGCGAGAGGACTTGATGTGTCTATCTGGAAGTATTATCTGCATGAGTGTATTAGGCTGGAACAGAAATACACACACACACACACACACACACACAGCTCTTCAAAGTATTGTTTTTGTATGAACTGCTCCGCTACTAAGCCTAGAAGAATTTCTCTGTTAGCTTTGCAGACAAGTTCCCACTCGCAGCCTGAGGTAAAGGCTGGAGTCTGTGCAGAGGCTGCTGCAGGGACTCCGGTGAACCGCAGGGGCCATGAAAGGCTCCCATATGGAGGGTGCTCCGGGGCAGATAAAGAGCCCGACAAGCCTATCCAAACAGAGAACTACTTTATCAGGGCTTGCAGGGTTTTTTTTTTTTGTGTGTCCGTTAACTGCCACAAACAGCCGGATTTGGGACTGACTAATACCGGGCCAGTCCCGAAATAGTATCGGGATGTTTACCCTGTATCCTCCTTGGAGAACTCAAACACACCGAAAAAATTCATCCAGTCGCCTCACTCCGCCGTGTCCCTACGCACATTCCACAGGCTGGTGGTACAATAAAGTAGTGCGGTTGCCTGAACGACGCAGTTTTTAAATGAGCAACGTTAAAACAAGTGACAGAGGAAGCTATTTAATTTAACTAAAATTAGTAGTGTAATTGAGTGCATTGAGTAGGTAAAAGTACTCATTATGCAGAATATCCCTTATTATGGTGTTATATTATGTATTACATTATTGTATTGTTGTAGATGTGTTCATGTTTAGGCTGTATTTCAGTGTTGTAGCTGGTCAAGTTGGCAAAAAAAAAAAAAAAACAGCAGCAGGTGCCTACTGAGCCCCACATTAGTCCCACCAATTAGATTGAGTATAGTAGTATAAACTGAAATAATAAAGTCCTTTAAATTAGATTTTAAGTCGGGATCCCTGAGAAGATCAAGTGATAATGAATGTTTCCTTACAGCTCACAGTTTATTTGCCTTATTCGCTGTAAGATATAATGTGAATTTGCAAACTTTCTGCCACAAAAAGTCAAATTTCAGTATGTTAAGGTAAAATAAAGTCTGATTCAGCCTTTAAAAAGTCATCATGTACAATATGTGTTGCTATGTATAGATTTTTTTACATAATACAGAACATTTTCTTTATTTTTTGTTTCATTGGGAAGCACTTTGAGGCGGCTGATCTAACGAGGTGCTATATAACTAATATTTTCTTACTTTACTTGCATTCATTTGAGTTTTCTGTTTTATTTATTGGATTAAAAACAGTCAAATGTCTCATATTTTTCATTTCCCCTCCTTATTACATAGTAATGTGTCACATAAAGCACACTTTTCTGTTGTTATTGTCCAGCATTATTATCGTGCAGGTCTTGGCGGAGTGGACACATCCTCGGGGGGAGTTTTGCGTATGAATGACGACAGAGCCATGGCTGGTGGAAAGGTGTTCCGGCCTGCTGGTGGGGGGAAACAAGCCGCCGCTGACTGATAAAGGAGCAGTGCTGCGTCAAGCCGAACGCGGAGTAACGGTCGGGCCGGTGGTGTTTACCTTCAAAATAAAAGCGTGTATGTAGTGCGGCGTTCGTAACGGAAGCGAATAAACAACGATTTTGGGGGAGTTTTAAGCTACAGAAACGCGCATGGACATTAAGTGTGATTACATCTGCTCGTGTGAAACGAAATGAAAGCCGTGTCACTTTTTTTAAAGATGTTGTTATGTTTAAAAAAATAACAGTCGCTAAGGAGGGGCTTTATCTTGAAACGCTGAAACCGGAACAAGCTCCCCTCGCTGTGGCTAACTCGTAAAAGTACAACAAAAAAAAGAGGGGGGAGGTAAGTAATTATTTAGGGGGAAGAAAGAAAGAAACAAAGTTGTCGACCGTGCAATGCGGGGAGGGATTTTATTTATCTCGAGCGACTCGTTTAGCCCAGCACCGGTCTGTTGGGATGTAACTGTAACGGAGCACCGGATTTCCTTCTTCTTCTTCTTCTTCTCCAAACTTTTTCCGCTACTATTTCGCCGAGTCCCGGGCAGGAAAAAAAAACGGGAATGATAAAAAGCAACCGAGCGCAGGCGGACGGACGGACGGACGGACTGAGGAGAGGTTAAGCTTAGTGTGTTTTCCTTTTTGAGTTAGTAGTTGTTTTGTTTGAATGTGTGTGTGTAAACTTTACGAGCTCGTTTCGCCCTGAGATGAATGGCAGAAGTCGGGTGAGTCGACTGATCTGTGCGCACACGGATTTATTTTCTTGTCTACACTGGACCCACATGAAGGGGCGATAGGCTGCATCCCGCTGAACCTCTCCGCTTTGTGTTGTTTTAAAAAAAAAAAAAAAAAAAAGACAAAAAACAATTCAAACGGAGACACACACACACACACACATACACACACACACATACCGCACTGGATAAACCACCACATCAACTCTTAACTGAAGAGCAAATTCAGACTGTTTTTAAACTACAAGAGAGAGAAGATGCAGATGTGGAGCCACATGAGGGTCCACAAAGGAGGCCCTCCACGACCATAGGTCACGCCGAAGTGTCCTGGATGTGTATATTTTGTCCTGTTTCCTGGCTGGATTGACTTGAACTAGTTGTCTTTATAACTAATCCAATGGATTCTACCTGTGCCTGTGGGTCTTCCACATGAGGGCCAACCAGATGACTCAGAGGACTTAGGTCATGTAACCACCCTGAAATGTCTTAAAGGGTTTTATTTATCTGTTTTGTATTTATTGTGTGTGTGTATATATAGGGGGTCCTTTTTTTTTTTTTTTTTTTTATAGTCCTAGTTTCAAGGCCAGTTTTTAATTTCTTTGTAAGGATTTTGAAAGCTGCCATCTCATCTGTCGTAGTGAAAACTGTTTTTTACTTGAGCATCTTTGTTCTGCTGTGTATATATATATATATATATATATATATATATATATATATATATACCTACCCACACTGTATTTGAGCAACATTCAACTGTTAACTTAAAGGGGGGAGCTGTGGGACTTTGCCCAGACAGGTAACAACACGAGAAGGCTTCACCATGGACAGGCCGATAAGCAAGTTATTGGAGAAGTTAAAGCTAACGGACTCGGGCAGTGTGAAATTCAACAGTTCAAAGAAAAAACACGACTCTGCCAACAACTCTAATAACAGCAACGCCAACACTGGCATCTCCGGAGGCAGCGGTCTGCCACCAGCTCCCAGCTCTGCAGCTGCCTCGCCCTCAAGACCCGGCCAGTTCTCGCTTGCCTCTGCAACCACAAGCGATGCATGTGTTCCAGCGAATGGGAGAGGAGGAGGTGGAGGTGGAGGGATGGGAATGCCTCCCTCTCAGCACCTCACCCCACCGCCGTCTTCCTCCACGGTGGGTGCCATACCACCAGATGGTGAGCAGCAACTTCACCCTTCCACCTTGGCACCGCTGAGGCGTCGCTCGCCCCAGCAGAGAGCTTCCTGTTACCTGGGCGAGGGCGTGGATTCCCACCTGAGGCGTGAGTCTGGCCTGGGCCCCGAGTGTGACCCCATGGGAGCGTTTGGCTCCAAGGCGTCCCTCAATCAGCGGCGCTACTCCCTGGAGCTTCAGCAGCTGGTGAGGCGGCAGCAGCTCCTCTCCCAGCCGCCGCCTCTCTCTGTCCCCCCGCCGTACTCTGCCGCCGCGGGATATGGGTCAGCTCCCAGAGGAGGTGGAGGCGGCCTGGCAGAGCCTGGCTACCTCTCAGAGCCCGAGAGGCACAAACGCCTCTCCCTCCAGGAGGCTCTGTTTTACAAACGCCTCAGCACAGGCAGTGAACTGTGGGAGAGCACGAGGCCTGCGTCCCTCTCTCATCCACCACATCGCACATCTGATGTGACCGGAGGAGGTGTTGGAGGAGGTTTCTTTTATCCCCCAGGACCGACTCTAAGCCCATGCTCTTCATTCAGCCTCCAGGAGTCGGTGCTGGTCAGCCCGAGGTCCAGCTTTGCCTCCAGCACGGCCAGCGGCGGCGGCGGAGGGAGCCCCATGGGGAGCCGCTGCAGCAGCAACCGAACCAGCGGCATCAGCCTGGGCTACGACTCTCGCTACTCGGCCTCTGGAGGCCTCCCTCCACAGCAGCAGTCGCCCTCCATGCAGACAGGCGGCTCTGCAGTCGGTTATGGAGCTCCAGGCAGGGCCGGGGTCACCCCAGTGGAGGCCTGGACTCAATACCTGGACGGTGGGATGCGTCCGGGGGCCCACGATAGCCGACACTCCTACCCACCTGCTGTTGGAAGTCCGGGAGCAGCGTGCTACCAGGCTGGCCCAGAGTGGTGGGACGAGCAGCAGGCGGGAGTGAGAGGCAAAGACGGAGGTGTGATGGGAGACAGGGCCCGGTACTCGGACCTGCCCGGCACCCGATACCAGGAAGAGCTCACCCGACTTCTACTGAGAGACGCAGCGCTGCAAGGTGACGGGCTCCTGGAGGGCCTGATGCTGAAGGAGTCCATGGCCCTGACGGCTCTTTCCAAACCGAGCACGACAACAATGGGGCCTTGCTCAGCCGGAGGGCCGGTCAAACCTCAGGAGGACCCCGGAGTCGGAGCTGGGAGGGAGGCCACGGAGAACCGCCAGGAGTTCTTTGGTGAGATCCCTGTTTTTGTTTTTGTTTTTTAAAGTTAACACAAATTGCAAAATCACATCCCTAATTTAAGCCAGTGCCATCACAGCACACGCACGGTATCTCATGCATCCATAATAGAGCGCCAGGTCATCCTGCATCCACCCTCAGCGTGTTATTATTGTCCTCCTCACTGCCTGGTGTCAGATCACAGGTTTCCCTCTAAATGAAAGGGTTGTATGGATGGATGGACAGACGGATTAATAGTTGAAAGAGTGCATGGATGGATGGTACATTGGAACCTGTAGAGACATGCAGGGTTGCAGCACGCAAAGCATAAAGGAGAGCGAAGAAGGGGGAAGAGAAAAAAAAGTGCTCAGGCTTCAAGAAACTGATCCAGACAAGTAGATGTGTTTGGCTGAAGAGAAGAAAGGAAAAAAAAGAACAGGGCAGATATATATATATATATATATATATACTCATTCAGACTCACACCTGTAGCCAAAACATCATGCAGAGTCAGCTGATGTTTCAAGACGTTGCCAATTTGCTACAGCGCGGTGCACATAGAGGGGCTAATGCAGCGTATCTACATGGCCATTAAACTGCAAAATTCTGCTCTAACACTCAGACACAAATTACATGGTTCCATATAAACACAGCTTTGACCATTATTGTGAGTCACAGAAGATTAGGGACTCAGGATGTGTGTGTGTGTGTGTGTGATTGCAGAAGGGTAGGAGTGTGTTACGGTGGCTGGATGAATATGTGTGTGTATATTGTTTCTTTGTGGCAGGGTGTGTTTCCCCCGAGTGACTTCAGGCCACAGTAACGCAGTGTGTGTGAGTCATGTGTGTGTGTGTGAGTGCTGGTGTGTGTGTGTGTGTGTGTGTGTGTGTGTGTGTTGCTGGCTTGGCGTGTGCAGGGGCGGTGTGCTGTAGCCTGTTTTTCTGCTCAGGTATGTGTGCCCGGAGGGGACATACAATACTGTACTCCTCTCAGCCATTAGGGAGAAATGAGAAGCTCTGAGCCATGAAGACAGACGCTCTGAGCTCAGTCTTTACTCGTACACACACCTACATTAAAGTTAAAATGCTGATCATGAAAAAAGAAAGTAAAAATGAAAACTATTGTCCCTTAAGTCAAGAAACTACAGAAGAAGATTCAGAGCTGATCCTTAAAAAAACAAGTGAAAAACAGAAGTGTTTTGTCCCACAAGTTAAAAATACTAGTGTGTACACATACAGCTATTCAGGTAATGTCTTATTATGCGTCTTAAATTAGTTTTAAGTACCAGAAGCAGGACTAATGTACAATTATTTTAAGTTAAATGGGTGCCAAACCAAATTTATTTGTGCATCAGTGTTCGATTTCTGTGTCCAAAATGAGTTTTATTCCACAAAACTAAGTCAACAAGTCACTTGAACCAATTCATTTCCAACCTTTTTCTATATGTAGCAGCCTTAAAGCCTCGAGTTTTAAGTCTTTGCTCTTTTTGGTTTTGGACTTGTGCCTGTTCCTAAATATCGAAGGGACTATCCAAGAGTGTAGGAATTCTCGATTTGTGTGGCAACTCCCTCGGCCACATTAGAAAGGGAGAAGGAGAAAAAAAAAGCAAGCAGACCCTTTAAATAGATCACAGAAGAGCGCTGTAGCTCGGACCACCACACCACTTTTCCACTTTAGTGCCCTGACTCGTGCTGAACATGTACTTAGACTAAACTGTATTCTGGTCTAGATGAGGAGCGCGCTCAGCAGTTGGTTAGCTGTAAAGGTTGATTGTTCTTCTACTTCTACTGGCCCTAACTGATATGTCAGCAGAGTCCTTCTACCTGCCACCAAACTGAAATAAACCCTAGAAAATAACTCCTAAAGCCTTTGTTTCATTGACTTTAAATGGAGAAACTATCCGCCGTTAGAAGGAAGCAGCAAACGTGATAATTTTTGCGATCTACTTATTTTTGTTGTCGTTTCCTGAGGGAGTAAACGGCAGGGGGGGGAAAGTGCAATCTTTTTTTTTTATCTCCAAATTGCTCAAATTGAGGGGTTTAAAGTCAAATTTAAAGGAAAGTCTTCAGTTGCAAAAACCTCCAGAAGAAAGCGAGTCATCTATTCTCTTTAACGACTGCCAAAAAAAAGAGTCAGATCCGGTGGAGTTTCCCTTTAATAACAGAGCTCCGACAGACACTCGAGTGGATGAGCAAACAGGCTGGCATGGGTAACTGGGTTTTAACTGTGTGAAAATCCCCTAGGTGGTGCGAACGAGAGGATTTACAAGTGTTGACACTTTGTGTGGAGTTGGATTTCAGACACATCCTCTTGGAATGCGTCGTAAACGAAGTGCTAAGAGCCGCTGAGCGATTACTCTAACTAAATGCATGTTTGTGTCCTCTGTGTGTGTGTGTGTGTGTGTGTGTGTCCATTGTGCCGGCAGGAACCTGTGTGAAGTGTGGGAAAGGCGTGTACGGGGCAGATAATGCCTGCCAGGCTCTGGATAGCCTCTATCACACACGCTGCTTCACCTGTGTGTCCTGTGGTGAGTAACCCCCCCACCCCCCACAGACACAACAATGATGATTTAAAGTATTTGAGCTTTATTTCTAACACCCACACCTTTTCTAAACGCCGCTTTAACCATTTACTATGAAAACTTCCCGGTTGTTATCCTGATGAGTGTCCTCCTCTCCAACAGGACGCACCCTGAGAAACAAGGACTTCTACAATGTCAGTGGCTCTGTGTACTGTAAAGAGGATTACATGGTAAGAGTTGAGGTCAAGGCGTGTTTTGTCATCCATCTCTCTCTCTCTCTCTCTCCTCACTCTCACACACACACACACACACAGACGTGTTCAGAGTCAGAGGATTGATTTTCTACTAATGGTAATCTCTTTGTTGTAATTACAGTTTTCGGGATTCCAGGCTGCTGCTGAGAAGTGTAATGTGTGTGGCCACCTTATTCTTGAACAGGTGAGGGTTGTGTGTGTGTGTGTGTCTGTGTGTGTGTCTGTGTGTGTACGTGCCACGTGAAAAAGAGCACAAATACCTCTTAAACACTTTGACTTATGTTAGTTTAAAGGAAATGTACTCCTGGTGATCCTGTGTAATTTTTAGTCACTTGCATCCTATGTTTCCCTGAATGCCTTTCCAGAACCTTCCTCCAGAGGATAGAGAAATTCAGTGACGTCTTTTTGTTGGCTCCTCTTTGGGTTCCCACGGCAGATTGTCAGTGGAATGTTTGCTTTGGGTTTTTTGATAAATAAAGAAATAGGGCTCTGTAGTGATTAGCTTAAAACTTTTTTTTTTTAACCATATTTGAACCACATAATACCCCATAATAAAAATAGAAAGCTCGCAGTGAGTGTGTGACCCAAGATTGATCAGTCTCACTGCGAGTTAAAAGTTTGACTGTAAGCATGATGGTGTAAGTTTTCAGGGAGAACTGTATAAGTTGTTGCTAAGTTGGACATATTTTTTCATAAAGGGAAGAAATATTTTATAAAATCTGCTGAGTATTGATAACTACTTTAAAATATCCCTGAATCAAACGCTTGCAGAAGATGGGAGGTATTCAAGGTGTACATTAGAGGAGAAATTATCTACACAAGCTCTGAGGATAAACAGCCCCAAATGGAAACTTTAAAACAAATGACGTGACAAAACATGTTTTAAAAATCTTTTTATAAATGACGTAATTATAAAATAATGGTTTCGGTCTTTGCTCTCAGATCCTGCAGGCTCTTGGGAACTCGTACCATCCCGGCTGTTTTCGCTGTGTGGTGTGCTCCAAGGCTCTGGATGGGGTGCCTTTCACTGTGGACCACCACAGCAACATCTACTGCGTGGCAGACTACAACAAGTGAGACTTACCATCAGTGTAAATGTGTAACAGAGACGTTATGGAAATAAGTTATTGTGTGTGTAACATTTGAAGAATGTCCCCCTTCCTCGCCCCACCTCCTTTTACTTTCTCCACTGTGTGAGTGCATAAAGTAAAGTGAGTAAATAAACTTTCTCCCGTCGTCCTGCAGGACTTTTGCCCCGAAGTGCGCTGCCTGTTTACAACCCATCTTACCTACTGAGGTGAGTCTTTCTTATTTATCTCTCTCTCATATGTAACCTGGGGCATTATGTGTGACTGCATTGTTTTCAGTTAACTTTGACACAGTAATACAACCAGTGTAATACGGAAGAGTATTTAAAAATCTGTTTATGCTGTATATATTTATGGTGATTCATACTTCTTCACTGCAACTGGAAGTGCAGCTTAAGTCAAAACAAACTCCCTTCATCTGCATTCTGACGTCTCCATTATTCTCCTGTTGTGTGTTTCAGGGCAGTGAAGAGATCCTCAGGGTCGTGTCTATGAACAAGGACTATCACTTTGAGTGCTACCACTGTGAGGTGAGTCTTCCCTAACAAATATCTTGTATATTTTGTCCCTCTACTTCCTAAAATATCCCATTATAGAGCCATAATCAGACATTGTTCCGATATGACTTTTGTTATGAAGTGCTTTGATGGCTGACCTCACTTCCTCCGTGTGCATTCCTGTCCTTATCTGCGTCTTTTTCTCCCCCCCCCCCCCCCCTCTCTCAGGAGTGTGGCAAGCAGCTCTCCGATAAGCCTGGCTCGCAGTGCTTCCCTCTGGACTCTCATCTCCTCTGCCACACCTGTCACATGAGCAGAGTGTGCTCCACACACAACATTCCCCCTCACAACACACACTGATCAGCGCCTATGCAGCTGTAGATGTTGTGAAAAAGCTGGTCTTAACATGCTGTCGTTCTCTCGTGTGCTTGTGCTCAGTCTTTTTTTTTTTTTTTTCCAAGATGAAACTGCTGATATTAAGACATTTCTACTGATTCCTTTTAGTCTTTGACTTGGATCAGTCCCCTTTGTCACATGTACTGCCTGCTGTACTTCTTGTACTATTACTGTACCATAGTTATAAGGGAATGGGAAAGAAACTACTGCTTTTTTTACCCCAATGTGGCTACTGTTTGCTGTAGAAGAACAAGGGATTTTTGCTAAACTGTTTTGTACATATATTATCGCTAGCAAACATTTTGCACTTAAATTTGACTTTACTGTAAGATTTGTTACGTGAATCTGTACAATTTTGGGGGAAAAACATTACTGTAATTTCTGTATGTTGTAATAAATATTTTCATTTGTGTTCAGACAAGTTCAGCATAACAAACCTGAATGCCTTTTTAAAAAAAAGATTTTCCTCTGCACTTAACTGTCCATGCTTTAAATACTTTTCCAATATATTCATCATTAAACCGGTTAAAAACACTCGTCAGCTCAGTCGCTCGCAGCCAGGTCATGATGCTTCTTCATGAGAAATGACTCAGCAAAAATATCCAAGCAGACAAGCTGGTAACCAATTTAAATTTATTCATTTTTTTTAAATTCTTGGTACATTCAGCACTTTGCAGGAGGAGAAAGAGGAAAAAAAAAGTTTCAAACTATTAAAAATGTAACAATTACTCTATTAGAGGGTGAACTTCTTATTTGTACCCCCTCTTAAATATATATATGATTGAAGGGTCAGAGGAGGGATTTCCAAATGGACACTTCAGTGCAGGGAAGTTCAGCTTCCCGTACTTATTACAGAATAAACCTCCACTTGACCACAATTTCATATCCTCGTTTCCAAAAATATGAACTCGGGCATGTGCATGTCTCCTGCATGTCACCACCGCACATAAGGTCGCGTCTCCTCCTAAATCGCACACTTTTCTAGGCTACAGTGTTGAGACTTCGATACCAGTTGTATCATCGTGGGAGAGGGAGATGAAGGTTATTACTCACACAAACATCACCTGCTGTAGCACACAACAACAACCCTCCAAGGCTGAAAAGATATTAACATGATTCATAAAAACTTCAACAAAACAAAATAACTTTCCTCACTTTGACAAAGACGGCCTGTAAATTTAATCGTGTGTGTATATATATAAAAAAAAATCTCAGTGCTGAAGAGTAGAACACTAAAACTGATCCTAGAAAATATTTGAAGGTCAGGGATCTATTTTGGACTGGTTTTATTACAGGGCTCTGAGGAGGAAGGAACTGTGCGCCCACAGAACTAAAATAAAGAGGCGGGCTCCCAAACCTCAGTGGGACAAAATGCTGAGGAGAGCCAAAAGAAAAAATACACCACCCTTCTCTGCTTCTTTTCTTCAACAGAGGAGAATTAACAGCACTACACGGAGAAGAGGAGGAAGGCTGCTCTCTACAGAAGGAAAGGACTGACTTTTGCTTCTGGAAGACAGAGAGAACAAAAGAGTAGGGGGGGTTGGAGCTAGATGAACCATCATTTTACTATTAACAAAACATGTAATCATCATTTTCTGTGTAAACTGACATGGATGAGGTGGGAGGAGGGGGAAGGGAGAAATGGCAGAAGTGTGTGGAAGACAACGCTGGCGTCAGAGTGGACGAATTAAAGCACGGTAGGGGCAGGCAGCGAGGAGCAGACACAAGTCCTGAATTTGAGGAAAGAGAAATGCATCTCCAAAAGTGGAAACACTCCCTCCCAAGACTTCCTGTCTGCAGTGTCCTCTGCTAAGCCACACCCCCCCCCCCTCCCCCCTCTAGCTCTCTCTACAGCTTTCCCTGCAACCACACAGCCCTCAGCGGCGTCTGTCCCTAGGGTTGCTACGGCTGCGAGAGTGACGTCCACCGACGACGCCTGCCGAGGGTCGTCTGGGCCGATGGCCGCTGTCCCTCTTCTTGTCCGCCTCTCTGTCTCGGCCACGGTCCCGCTCTCTGTCTCCGTCGGTTCCTCTCACGGCTGCTCTGGCGCTCACCACCACGCTGACGTCCTTCTCCCGACCCTTCAGCCGCTCTTTCTTCTCCTCCTCACGCTTCTTTTCCTCCTCCTCTTGCTGCTCCTTGCGCCTTCGTTCGCGCTCCTTTTGACGCTCTGTGCGATCTAAAACCCTCTGCGCCGCCTGGTGGACACAAAGCATGGTTTAGTTTGATGAAACGAAGTCTCAAGCACTCGAGAGAGAAATGTGTAACTGTTGAGACCAACCTGCTCCTCAGTGAGGGGCAGCCAGTATATACAGGGAGCTGCTTTGGTCTTCAGGAACAAGTCGTCTAACAGTTTGGCAGGAGGCTCGTCTCCTTTCTCTGTTGATCAGAAAACACAAATGGGTGAACACTGGTACACAGTTCAACCTGTTTAGGATATAAATATATTGAATTATTACTATATCTTTTGTAAGTGGGTCCACTTTTCTTTGTGCTTTACCCTTTTTATCAGTCTTCCTCTCCTTGCTCTTTGCCCTCTCTCTCCTCCTGCGCTCTCTGTCTCTGGATCGCGAGCGTTGCTCCTCTTCCTCTCCCGGTCTTGCAAATTCCCGGACCTTATCCCGGTCCCATTCCCGCTCGCCACGGGTTCGTTCGCGGCGCTGCATCTCTCTCTCCCGCTCCGCCCACAGGTCCCGCACTCCTGCAACGCCTCGGTCCCGTTCGCGATCTCGGTCGCGCCCCCCTTCGCGTTCTCTTTCTCTTTCCCGGTCTCGCTCGGGCATCAGAGGGGGCAGCCGGGTCTGAGGAGCAACTGGCTGGGCAACATGTTCTTCCTCCTTTTGTGGCTTCAGGACCCCTTTGTGGAAGTCCAGCTGCAACGATTAAAAAACAAAACAAAAAATTAAGAGACAAATACCAGGATGTTCAAATTCGAGAGAGTGCAGAAGATTAAAAGGACAAATTTAATAAAATTTACATACAAGAACAAGATTATACATCATAAAAGGTTTAAATGATTAATTAATAACAAAAGACATACGCAGTTAAACACTTAAGGTTTTGCATAGGAATCTGATTAAATTCAACTATTATTCAACAATAACGTATTGTACTACTTTCAACAGTAAGCAATCATAGATGAAGTGATACCGCCTGCAGCTTTAAAAACAAATAAAAACCCTTAGGACTAAGTATGTGGTTGCTCATCTGAAATAGTTCCAAAATTAATATTTAATTCATCCTGCTTTTTACTGTGGATGACAACAGCCATCTACTGTTTTATAGTGTACCCCTGTATGTATGGGATATATAAATTCATCTTAAGGCTGGAATAGTCTTCCAGTAATGCAATTTATATTCCATTAAGTCTATTATTACCTCATCCTGCTCGCAGAAGTCGACGCTGAGGACCTTTGGGTTGCTCGGAGGCCATTTGACCCCATGGAGGGCAGCTCTGGTGGCGACAGCCTCCTCTGCTGTGGCATACTACGAGGACAGGGGAAGAGGAAAGTTATCAGGCTAAAAACAGTCCTGGTAAAAATGTAATCACATCTCAACCAACGCAGTACAAAAATAAGATGGTAGCAGGAACAGATGGAGCCAGACGGATGAAAACAGAGGTGATATTTTCTGAGGTAGAATGACAACAATCACACAAATGCTTCTTATTCATCCTCGAGATCAAATACGTTGTCCTGCAAAAACAGACTGTATTTAACTGAGGGTTTTTATATCAATACAGCAGCAGAAAATCTACCTCTTATAAACGCCTAGCCTCAGGTACTGTGTGGTCAACGCTGAACAAAACTAGTTAAAAATAGTTCAGCATTTGGTAAAAAGGAGAACATTCTTGAAATGGGCCAGTTTTGGCAGCTATTTTGAGAGTTAACAAATTCCCTCAAGTGGCTGGCTAACACTTCGAGCTAACAACATGCCGGGTGGACACGAGGCTTCGCACTCTCAACACAATATGATAACGTGTTTATGTGTTGGTACTCACTGTGACAAAGCAGTGAGACTTGATCTTGTCGATCCAGAAGCCGTCTTCCACCACGCTGCCCGTCCTGTTCAGCAGCTCTTTGAGTTGGCCCAGGGTGAAGGGTCGTACCTATGGGGTACACAAGAGGGAATCACAGTCAACTCATTTTCAGTCAGAGTGAAACTGTGGAAGTCTTTGGGTGACGACTTATAAATGTTGCTCAAATGTTCATTTAAAAAGAATAATAAAAAATGTATAGAGATAATGAATGGGCCATTATGATTGTTAAGTTGATTGTCATTGCGTATGTACTGCTGAATATTTTATGTGATATGTGACAAGAAAAAAGATCCATCTTTATTTATGTTAATATTAGGAAATGGACAGGTGATATAAGATTTTTTGGTTATCGTGTATAATTCGTTTGTTTTTTATACACTTGAAATGAGAAAAATTAAAATATTATATTTGAACATGTCCTAGATGATTATGAATGTTGACAACTGTAGGCAGCCAATGAGAGTACGATCAGGAAGAACAAATACAAAACAATGTGGAGAGAGGAATGTTCAATCACATTGGAGTTGCTTCAGAGAAGACATCAGTCAGCTTTGTGAAATATCTTAACTACTAGTGAATGGATCGCCCTGAAATGTTGTACTCATATTCATATTTCTCTTAAGATAGATCTCGATGATTTTTTACTTTTTGCCTAGCACCAACAACACTTCATGACACGATAGACGACAATGACTGAAATGGTCAGAGTTCAGAGCATGAGCGCTTTTAGTTTAGGTAACGACATGGTCTTTCCTCTGGCGCCTCCCTCAGGCCAAACTTCACGTGTTTTCAAAGAATAGCAAAGTTGTTTCTGCATTTTAAATCCATCAGTTTTGTTTTCAGCTCAACAGAATGGTGATGAGCATTACAGTCACACAGCTGATCTACAGTATCATCTGAGAGTCTTCTGTTCGGATTCTGTGTTACTGCAGCCTGGGAGCTCCCGTTTTTAGAGATTAGTGAGACTGGGTGGCATTAGAAATCTGTTAGTCTTTGATCCATGTGTAACTTTAAAGTCTTGCTGCTATGACGCAAGTAAAAAGAAATCTGTAAATGTTAGTCATTAAATGTGTAATGTCTAGTCTTGTCACAGTCTGTTTAGTCATGCAGTGTGCCCCTAACCTAAGGTGATGCTTGACTACAGCCATAATACCTGGGTAAGTGTTTCTGACTCTAATTATGGGAATGATGGTGATGTGGTTGCCACTGGCATCACCACAATATGCCTCATTCATGAAAAACTTACAGGGTACAGGATTTTTCTGTACAATCATTTTCCAGAAATAATTTTAGTCTGTGAGGAAAGTTTAGGGCTCCAATGAGACCAAAAAACAAGAATATAATGAGATCTTTTTTAATGAATTCATTTTGACTTCCCAGAACGGTTTAAACACAAGTTCCACACCGGAGGAAAAAACACTTTTCACTGTACTTTCTTTACTTTGTGTTTGCACTGAGTTACAAACTCACCAGATTGGTCACATGAATGATGTTTGAGACTTTGCCGTGAGGCGGTGAGGGCTGTCTGGTCGTGCGGACGGGGTCATCAATGGTGACAGACACGCCAGACTTCTGCTGACTGATGGAGCGACGCACAAGACTGTCACTGGGGGTAACTGAGGGAAGGATGAAGAAGAGGTGAGAAGAGTAGGATGGGTTAAAAAAAGAGAAAGTACTGCCAGGGGGATGATGGATGAAAGAAGGCAGCAAAGACATTTGCACCCAACAATTTAGAGCAATTAAAAACCCACAAATGTATCAAGGAGGCAGTTTTACCTTTCTTTGCCTCCCCTTCGAGCTTGACAGATGTCTGTGTTTCCGAGGCATCCTCAGAAACACTGTTCTTCCTTTTGTCTCTGGAAGTCCTGCGTTGTTTTTCTTTCTCAGTTTTCTCCACCTCTTCCTCTTCATTTGTCTGTCCATTTTCCTGGCTGTCACCCGGGACGACCTGGGGAGGAATTACAGGTACAAAAACAGTAATGTGACGGTGCACAACTACTGACAAAAGCACCATTTCTCGAGATTGGCTGTTCTTCAAACAGATTGTTCTATAATCAGTCGTAATTGGTGGTGATACATTATGCCTCTTCTGACCTGTGTGACGGTGCGTCTGATCTTGAGGCCTTTGTCCTGGTCACCCCGGCTGGCGTCCAGGCTCTCCTCGTCCCCGGAGAGTTGCAGCTCCTCTGGGTGCAGCTCCACCACCGCCTCCTGGTTCACTTTGATGTCTGGGATCAAAGACTGCAGGACAGATAAGCACACAGGAGATGATGGAGGAAAAGAAAAAATAGGAACAACAGGAAGAGATAGGGAGAGAAATATTTGAATATTTTAACTGCATCTGTCTGTGGTTACACAGTAAGAAACGAGGTATAATGGTTTTGTTTTCCCTTGGCCATAGTTATAAATAACAAGTGTCTGATTATTTGTTTAAAATCCACATATTTCTCCCAGCTCACACGTGATGTTTTGGAACTCATTAAATTTCCCAGCTGAGTTTCAAAACATGAACCGAGCTGGAAGGTACTTGTGTGATTTGGGGAATCTATAACCAAACCAATATTGATCAGAGTAAGAACATACATTTACAAAGCTTATTTTCTTTGGTTGAAACAAAGTTTTCACCCTGAAAAGTAAAGTTCTCTTAAAGAGTTGATTCCTTGTCATTTCACAAACTTTGGTCCACTTTCTGGCCTGAAAATGATCAATATATATATCAGCTACAATTAAAAAAACATCAGTGAACCATCACATTTGTTCTCCACATTTCCCCTGCATTTACGAACACCTGGTCCCGGTCCCTGTGCTGCGTTAGTACCTTCAGTGAGTCAGTGGTGATACTGATGGACGGTTTCTTGGCAGTGACTGATGTGCTGGATCCCCATCGCCTCTTCCTCCCTGCTGCAGTTCCTGTCTCAGCCTCTCCTGCACCTCCATCTGTGGTGGCTGGGGACATCTTACTACCTGCAGAGGAGTCCAATAGATGTAGTTTATCATTGAGAAGGGAGAAAATGCACTCCCAGATGCATGATTTGATCTATGACAAGATACTGCAAGCTCATAGCCTAAAAGGAGGAATAATTAAGTAAATGCTTTACCCCTAAATAGTTTTGCCAAGGGTGGCAGTGACTAATTTAAGTTTACATAGTCTATAAATGGTAGTGCGAGATTAAACCATTTCATAAACTATTTTCCAAAATACTTAAAACATGTCGTTACGCGTTTGCTGTGGTTGTGATTGGTAGCTATTCCAAGAGGGAAATGCCTTCTGCCACACAGAGCTTATGGGAAGTATGCAGTGAAAAATAATAGGAACCATACGGTAGATAAATATAGTGTGAGCGAAAGGTTATTGTGACCACAAGCATGGACAGGGTCCGTGCTGCAGCATACTGAAATCGCAGGAAATACTGCAGTGTGATTTTTACCGTGCTGTGGACAAATCCAGCACATTAATAAGAAGAGTTTTGTTTAATGTATCAGTTATAATCACAGTATTTCCACTACTACTGCTACTAAAGCATTTTGGTGTGAAAGGATTACACTGGTGTTATTAAAAAAAACTATCAACATTACAATCCACAAAGAGAGTGGATTCATTTATTTTTTTAGAGATGATTTTCTTGAGCTTATATACTGTTTTATGGAAGTTTTACTGCGATCACTAATTTATTACAGTTAACACATATACTGTAGTCTTCCCTTACAAGCAAGTACTTAAACTGTTTTGTCCACTGGCGAAATGGCTGGTGAATGTTAAAATTTTAAAAGCCACTCAATAGACTCTTTTCCGGCTTGTGAGTGAAGCAAATCTACCAGCTACTTTGCATATTTTACCAGCATTTGGTTGGTGGCTGATGCCAATTTTGTGCCCTGCTTACAAGACTTTATTGCACAGAATTTACTTTTTTGTACAAAGTCAATCTTTGACCGTTTTCTGCTTGTTTTAAGTCTAAATGCTAAATGTAGGGTGTTTTGTTTTTCATTCTTGTTCCAGCCATGTCTTCATGTACGATGAACGATGAAAGATGCAACTGTATACTCACTCGTCAGGGATATCTTGCGAGCAGCAAAAGCCTTAGGAGTGGTGCTCTGGAAAGAGAGAGAGACAGAAAGAACATACAGAAACCCCAGGGGTGCGGGGCGAGATGAGAACCAAGAGTTCAGACCCAAACAGGCAACAACAGAGAAGAGGTGAAAAAGGAAAAGTGGAGGAGGGGTCGGGGCGGGGGGTTAAAGTAACAGAGGCCTGCAGGCTCCAATTGTACCACATTATGGAGAGGGTTCTTGGTCGATACAGAGAGACTCCAGACACATTTCCGCCTTCCACCTCTGCTCAAAGAGATAAATCATTACGCTACTCCCCTTGTGAGTGTTTGTGTGTGTGTGTATGTGGGAGGTGGACGCAAAGCAAGTACATGATGTGCATTAGGACATGAGTAGGCCTGCGTGAAACTCGAACTGGGTTGTATCTGAGTGCGGTATGTTATTACAAAATAATGTCCATCAGAAAGCTCTGAGAATAGAGGGGAAAGGAGACTAGCGTGTGTGTCTGAGTGTCTTAGGGATCTTTGTCACTTTACAATATTCAGGTCCCATTTGTACTGGATTTATTTTCCCTACAGGAAGTGGGGTAATTTCAATATTACCTGCACTGGTTAATAATTTAAAATCTGTCTGGAGTGCATATGTCTGATTTTTTTTAACCTCCCAACTCTGATTATTACAGAACTAATTACTTCCTGTTTTGCAAATGTTCTGGTCCTTCCATAATCTAAATCCAACCCTGAGACAGATTTTAACTGACCTAATAAGACTAGTTAACATCAGTCAACTCTTACAACAAAGCAAAAGTAACAAACATTATAAGTTAGTTAAGTTTTGATATTATGTAACAGATGATTCTGTCTTTGCTGGTCTATCTCAGTATAGCTGAATTCATTTGATGTGTATTGAGTTACATGTATTTAATACTGTTGCAGATACTAGTTTCTTTCCTACTGTAAACACAAAGACTAATGGACATTCAGAATTAGACATTTAAGTAGTCTAAAACCGTCTGCATTACATTACTGCTAAATAATTACCGGTAAGCTTGTCAGTGGGCCATGTGACAATTGTCCATTATCAAACAAGTTCCTGTAATTTGCTACCAGTGAAAACGTTGTCCAGAATTTATTCTGAATAAGGAGGGGAACTATTTTATTGGCCACATCCCCTGTAATATTAATCTTGTCTGAAGGCACTTTCAATCACAAATTGTGTTATTGCAGCTTATCGGTCCTGAGTATCTCATTTAGCTCATTAGTAGCTCATTTAACATGTATGTATTTAACAAATATGGCGTGTAGTTGAATGAAATATTGTTGTTGACTAACATTATTGAATGTTGTTGGGGCTGATGTGTTCTGTGGAGCAGAGGTGGAGAACAGTGTGCTGAAGACTCAAAGATCTGTCAGTATTGGTGCTGCAGTTTAAATTCACCTTAAATATTTACCATATTTAATAACACACAACTGTAAACCAACAGTGTTTGTCAAATGTACGATGAACGCTGTCATCTTGGTGTCGAAACATCAAATTAAAACTGCAGTACACGTGACAGTTCAAGAATTTGCACTCAATTACGAAGAGGGAAAGAATTAATTTCTCTTATTTACAAAAAAGATCTGGAGGAAAGAGAAAGCTTTTTTTTTTCTAACACTTAATCCTTTAAAAATGGTATACATTTTAAATAGAGGAATAATCACAAGTCATTTCCTGGTACCATTTGACACCTGATTCCTTACTGGCTCGACTATGGCCCAACCGCACGACAGTGTGTACTGTATCTAGGCAACAAGGATCCAATCAGAGTAGGCAGAGGAGTGAGGGCGGGGCTCGATTTGAGTGTGCAGATCAGCCACCAGGCAGGAACTGATCACTGGATTGGACTTTTTTCTTGAATGGGTTTGGGGAGGACTTTTCTTGACTGCTGATCAGTGTCACGTTTCAGTCTTTTGGGGAGCCAGGCATTTCAAACTGCCTTGTGATGGATTCTGACGGGGGAGCGGGGGGTTGACGGGTACTTTGTTATTGTCCATGATCTGTGAAGTACATCTGACAAGTTTAGTCAGGCTTGAATTTATTGTCTTTGTCATAATTGTCCATGTTCTCCAATATACTTTCAGAAAAGTCTTTGTGACCGTTGGGGGAGGGGGGGGGGGGGTATAATTGTCAAGAGTTTGTTGTCCAAGGGAGACAAGGTTCTTGGTTTTAATAGTTCATGAGGTTTCCATAGCAACAAGGTTCGCTGCACAGTTCTTGAGTTTGTTATGCAAATTGACAGCACAGGCCGAAGGTCTCTTCAATAGGATAAAGGTGGACAAAAGTAATCCAGCAGAATGTGCCTTTGTAAAAAAAAATTTAATCCAGAGTACTAGTCGAAATGAGAGGGTCCATGGAAATCATCTTTAGCATATTTGCTGCCATGAATGTGATTGCACTCACATGAAATGTAGGAGATGCAAGGGCGGAGTTGTGGGTGAAAGAGATGCTTATAGAGATAAATAAACAACAGCAACAACTGCAGCTGCCCATCTGCCAGTTCCACAGCAAACGCAGGATATCAGGACTTCCTGGCAAAACATCCACTGAGTCACATTTGAGTGTGCTGACAGTGTGGCTGCAGAGGAAGGGAGGCGATGATCTGTTGAGTATATCCAGCTCTCAGTGTTGGTGATCAATGTCACTGTGCACCCACAAAAATCTCTTGGTGCATAATGTGTGTCAGATTACATGTCCTTGGCATTGTGTCCTTTAAAGGTGAATTGGTGCAGAGTTCAGGGGAACAGTTCTCTTATGAATGGCAATGTTGAGCATGTGGACAGTCTTTAAGTGCACTGTCAAAGAGAGCACAGATGAATGATGGAAGTCACTTTTAAAAAGGCCAGCTCGTAAAGGCAGAGGATGGCGGTCAGCCTTACAAGCTCAAACAATAACAGCGTTCCAGATCTTGAAGTGTCCATATCATCATGTCACAGAAAGACTCTCTTAATCATCACTTGTAAGCAGATTATTTCAGTCGGCAGTTCGAGTGTCTTTTAAAGCTTAAAACCCCAAACAGCGATCGTATAAACACTCGAGCCCTGATCACTGAATGGGTTATTGCAGGGGTTCTCAGGCCAATGTCATAACTCCACCCTACAAGCAGGGGGCAGTGTGGGGTTGAAGGCAGAGGTAAAAACAAAACTGGAGGGCTGAAGAGTTCTGTCTTTTCTCTGAGCTGCACTTTGCTTTTGGAGGACGGAGGCATGGATGTAGGAGGACAACACTTTGAGACTGTGCTTGTCCTCAAAATGGCAGATGGGAGAGGCGGGGAGAGGGGGAGGCAATGCAGAGCGTTCGACACCCTCCCCTTCCCTTGCCCCATCATTCATCACCACCGCACAGTGCAGTACAGTCCAGTCCGGTTCAGATCAGCAAGCAGGCTTCCAACCCCTGAGGCTGGGTTTCCATGACAACTGTGTGCTGCTGCAGTTACCATGGCTGCCACTGCTGTCTGTGGCGGTCTGCATGCAAGCTCCAGTTCCTGCTGGCTCAGCACGCCACTGGAGGGGTAACAAGGGAGGCCTTGCAGGCTCAGGCTTTACTCAGTGCCATGGGGTTGCAGACTCTGGGCCTAATTCAGGTACCAGCGACGCACTTGGGCATAGCGGGACAGGAGTTGTAGGAGAAGTAGGAGGAGGAGTGGAGGAGGTGTTGGTGTTGGTGGTGGTGGTAGTAGTACGCAGCAGGTACCATTAGGGGCAATGGAAGAGGCATGGGCACCTTCATAACAAAGCAATCAATGGGGTTTTAAACAGCAATCACACCATAAATATATATAGTGAGAGAGAAGCGTTCATGATGGGATACAAAGGCAAAGGATGAAAAGTAAGGGGACAAAGAGGGAGAGAGAGAGGGAGAGGGAGAGATAGAGAGAGAGAGAGACAGTGTGAAAGGAGCCAGCGAGGGAGCAGAGAGAATGAAAACAGGGTGAAAGAAACAGCAGAAACAAGCCCTGATGCATCTCTACACACACTGTCAGGGTCCATTACTCATGCAAACCCAAGGGGGAAACAAAACCCACAAACAAACATGTACAGTACAGATGAAAAAGACACGTGCTGATAATAACGTCAATGGTATAGCAGCTCCCCAGCAAATCTAAATTAGACACTGGATAAGAAAGTCACTATGATAAGAAAGAGCTCATTGTAACGTGCAGCTGACAATAGCAGTAGCTTGATAATTAGCCCCAGGGTTAGGGTTACAATTCTCTATGGTATATTTGTGTGGAAAATGATGTGAAAACTGATTGCTTTTTAAAATTTAAAAGAAGGCGAAACTGCTTGTGATGGCATAAAATGCAATAATCTGGTCGCATGTAACGACCCTGACACACAATGTGCAAAAATTTGAGCTGACTAAGGCAGACTGATCACAGTCGACCACAGAGGGTTAAAACAGCGATCGATAATGTGCTTGGTGTGTCAAGGTCCTTAAGTTTAATGTTTTTCTTCCACACACACACACACACACACACTTTCTGCAGCATGGACGTCTAACTTAACAGACCATAAACATAAACACTTAACATTACTGAGCAGGGACCAGACAGACAGACAAGGGGTGTGTGTAAGAGATCATCTAAGTGAATTAGGCAGTTATGAAATATTAGTTGCATTAAATGCAGATGGAAGAGATTAGTTCATTTCTATTAACCCCAGGACCCAAATCCAACTCAACCCCCTGTTCGTTCACCTAAGAGCTTTTGTAAAATCCTCCAACTGAGTAATCTGTTGAGCATTTGAGAGGTTAAAAGGATGGAGAAAGAGAGTTTATACAGAGTTAGAATTGAAAAGATAAAATCTCTGCAGGAGCCAAACGTTGGGGTTGTGTTGGTTTCAAGTGACCCTCCTTACTTGTTCTGAGAACTATACATGCTTTTATATGAATGAGGATGCAGGTTAGTGGGAGACAGAGCAAAGACCCGGGCACCCCCACCCTCTCAGTGACCTTACCTCCTCCAGGCGGCCCTCACTGTTCTCTGGCTCAGCCCCAGAGGGTGGCTGCTGGGCCATGGAGCTCTCCGTGTCTGGTTCCACCTCGGTCACGGCGGCAGTGCTGGGCTCCGACACCTCCCTGCAGGAGGAAGAGACAGTTAGGGTGAGGAGTGGGTGGTAGAAAATAGGATTTCACTGTAAAGACTGTCTGAGAGCTCAGGGTCAATACTGGTCGGTAAGAGTGTCTGGTCTTACCATATCTCACCCGGTGATAAGCTTGTTATATTTGCCAGCATTTGTGTTACAGCCCTAACCTAAGAGTTATAGTGTGGGAATTGACATTTCAAATTATGAATCACAGAGTAAAATTATCTGTCTTTTATCAAACAGTGGTCTCCTTGAGCAACAAATCACACTTATTGTTAGAAGTCACTGATAATGACCTCAATCATATACTCAATCACTATGAAGACATGGCCCAGCAGCACCTTATGTGTATGCTTTCTGACAACGTATATCTGAGTGGGTGTGTTGACAGGAAGACGACCTGAAAGAAATACCACTATCATGAGTTTCGGTTCTGATTTTCAACAGTTTGCTTTGGTTTTAATTCATTATGTTTGAATAAACCGCATTACATTTATGACCACTGGTTCAATGAAAGCATACATAGTATGAGTCAAACTCGGACTAACTGGTCTGACTGAGCTGGTGAATCTCAATTGTGAGGTTTTGAGGTTTTTCTTTATGTTATAATAAATTGAATATGTTTAGGTTTTTGGAGTGTTGGTCAGACCACACAAGCAGCTTTAGGAGATCGTAGACATTTTTCACAAATATTTTACAATTATAAATCAAAAAAATTAATCAAGAAAGCAATCAGCAGATTAATGAGTAAAGAAAGTAATCATTAAAAACACTGGGAAGAGTCAGAGGAAGGGTGCTGGGGGGGTGTGATCTGGGTCACTCCTGCTATAAATAACTCACCAGCTAATGGACACCCAGAGTCACAAACACACCTCAAACTAACTCATAGTTCAAGACACACCACACTCACAACCGACTCCAAGTGTGTGGTCTTCATCTAAACCATGCTGGGTCATTATTGGGGAGAAAACCCAACTCTAAGCCAGCCAATGAGAGCTATGCTTTGTAGTTACTATGAGTCAGACCTCACACAGCTTAATGCTTTTCCACACATTGTTTTGTATTAAGTATCTAATCGAAGACAGTGCAAAACCAAGCAGATGTCATCATTATATTTTTAGCTACCCCCTCAACTTCCCCTGCCAGCGTTATCAAAAGTCTCCTCCTCTGCCTCCATGTGATGACACAGGCATAGAGTTAGCACCCTGTAGGTGGGAGAATTACATCCTCCAGCATCCTTCTCTCAGTGCACTGCGGTTCTCCTCTATTGTTTGATTCATTACATGATGCTTTGCATTTCCTAGTTAGATTTTTAGAGGAAAAGGGGAGAAAATAATACATTTTAAAATGTTTTTTTATTTCTGATAAAGAAGTGTTTGGCAGTGTTAGTGAACTCCAGGTGCCAATCACAATCTTTGTCGCTAGTTCAATCAGTAAATTCTTCATGAGTTAGTGCAGAGAATTCCTGAATTAAAAAGCAAAAAAGGAGCACATTCAGTAGTGCATGTGATGAGTTGTTGTTCCTCTTTTAAACTGCTGATTATTTCAGAAGACATCAGAAAACAGAAAGGGCACATCACAATTGCCTCAAGCCCAAGGTAACGTCTTTAAAAATGTAAAAACGATTAATTTTATTATGATGGAAGTCAAGGATGAGCAGCATTCAAGGTGGAATGCATTGAGCTAATTATTTCCTGTCGATTGCCTAATCTATGCAATCGACTAATTGTAGCAGCGATTAGTCAAGTGACCTCCTAGATGAAGGTGGTAGGTGGCCAATTTGATCCCCTGAAGAATCTTTCTGGCTCAAACACCGAGTCACCTTCATTAAAAAGTTACTTCTACAACCAGGTGATGTGCCATTTGTTTTGAATGTAAACAGTAAATAAACTATGTTCTTTACTTTCCTTCCAGCCTGATAGCAACAACTGTAAAAGAAAAATCTCTCCCACTTGCTAATGATTCCTCACTGGACCAGCTCAGGCAACCAAACATCAGCTTTTCTGTTTCTCTATGACATGTAACTCCGCCACCCGCAGAGTGTATTTCAGAAGAGGGACTGTAATGTTAGTCTCTGTACTACTGAAATCTACAGAGTGTTAGGAGAGCCTTTTTAACCTCCTTCTCTGGAGATTAGTCACTGGCAGGAGTGTAGGCAGGAGGACAGCAGTTTCCCCTCCTCCACGCCACACTGATTCTCCTCATTTGCCCTAGGTGTGGATGTCATTGTGTATGTGTGTGGCTCTTTAGCCAAGGCCAGAGACACACCTGCACGGGCTATAAAGGGAGACAGATGTCAACTGGAAACACAACCCCTAAGGATCAGGAAGAGAGAAAAGGCCAGACCGAGGTGATGTAATGAATGAAAGAATTAAAGAAATAATGAGTGACTAACTGTGTCTACCCGACGCTTGGTTTTTTTTCTTTTCAACTAACAGCCTTGAAGCCCTCTTGCCCTGCTTTTCAAAGAGCTTTGTATTCATATGACTAAGCTGGAATGAGGAAGCACATTGAAGTTCAGCTTGAACCTGAAGAACAACATCAAATTTGTTTTAAATGAACCATAAAATAAATCCATTACGTTCTGTTAAACTTCTCGAAAACCTGACAAAAAGTGACCATAAGTGTGCATTGACCCGAGGCATCGATTCTCATTCATGGTAAGCTCAACAGAATTAGTCCAATAGTGACCTAATCAACTAACTGGACTCATAAAGTGGACCAAAACATTGTCACTCGTCAAATCAGACATGTAGTCAGTTCCCAGGGGACGAGGGTGTGAGTGCTGGTGCCAGCTGGGAGAATTATATCACACCATAAGGGCCCATTCACACTGACTGTACAACTAACAGATGTCTGCTTTAATGATCTCCCTTGACAACAGCGAGATCATTAACAGCTACAGCCACACAAACCCAAAAATACAAATATAGCCCTCCCTGGGCTAGCCAACCGAGATGGATGTAAAGTAACTGAGCCTCAATGGACAACAAAATGAACACTGGAGGTTTGTGAAATAACAAAATGCATATTCTGAAATAAGAAAAATCCACATCTTAGCTACCTGGCAGAAAATGCTGAGGTCAACAAGAAAGAGAGAGGTGGAGAAATCACTGTCCATTACGAATTTCATCATCACACCATGAAATCTGAGCCTATTATTTATTTATCAACGTGTTCCTTCAATGTGAAGCTATTTTAGGCATTGAACATAGAAAGGAGACCCCCTTCCCCCTCTAAAATATCTCCCCTGCTCCTTCACTCAACAAAAGGCTCTCACCGACATCCCCACCCCCGGTCTCCTCCTCACATGGGCGAACATGTAACACGCTCACAACCAGGCCAATGTGAACTGATGACATGATATTTAACAGGCAGCAACATAAAAAAAAAAAAAAAAAAGGGGAGCTGTTAGCCAACCAGCATCGTAATGAAGAGCCGGTTTCACGGCAGGACACGACAGACCGAGACCGGCTAATGTGTCCCCGATGCTTTCTAGATAAGGGGGTGTAAAAGTACAACCAGCAACCTGAAGCCTTGAGTCGCCCTCTGGCTCACTCTTACCCGTTTTTGTTGCCTTCCGACAGCATTATGACCGGCCTTGAAAGGGAACCCCCGGGGATAAAAGATAACCCGCTGTCGCTAATGGTTATTCCGGTCAGGCGTGGGTTGAAAGCGGGGACGCGAATAAAAAATCCTGTCGCGGTTGTTTTCTGCTGCTGAAAGCCGTGCACTGCGTCGGTATCAGGGATGCAATGCATGCATGACGGCCATGTTGGCTAGCGAGACCAGCGTCAAGTCTACCGGAGTGGGGGAAGAAAAAAAAACTATGTTCCGGTCAATGATTTCCAAAATAAAAGCTCTGTTGTGACGCTCAAACGCAGCGCGTTCCGAAATATAAGCCGAGACAAATACTGATCGATCCAGGAGGATGAAAGTACGATTAATGCTGCGAGCAACAACGGGAAAATACACGAAAAAGGCAGCAGGAAAAGGCAGCGAGGGAACGTGGTAAAGAGGACCCTTTTTTCCTCAAGAGAAAAGCAGCAGCAGCAGCCACGCCGCTTGTGGGGCTGCCGCATTAAACGCCTGACAAGAAATACAACCTGCTATAATTAGGAGCGACGAGCAAGAGAGCAGTGGGGGTGTTTTTTTTTGTTTTTTTTACAACCTCTTCAATGAAGAGACCCTGTCAGCTCTGTGTGACCAATGTTTTTAACTGGGACAGACATTTATTCTGCATCTCCATGCTGACAAATTATACACAATGTTATTTTTGCCCCCCATCCTTCATGTGACTGGTCAATTTATTGCAAGCATAGCAGAGTTATGTGTTTAATACAACACAAATATATAAGGGAAAACCGCTATTAGTGCAATCCAGGGTTAATACAGCTCACAAACATAATGCACATCAGTTTATTCACCAAACTTCAGTGCAGACATGGTCCTTTCTGTCATGGTAGTAAACACTGCACAAATGTGATTAAACCATGACCTCCACCTAGTCATAATCACACAAACAGCCCTGTCTGTATTTAACTTAAACATGAGAAGACGTTAAGATACTTTTTTAGAGATCTGAATGGTAATCTCTTGTTAAAATACACATTGCTTTTGCTCTTTCCTCTGATGGTTCATACAAGCAAAGTGTGCAGGAGCATGAGCACATATGTCTACATATTTCCATCAGTGCATTTAATTTATCAGCTTCTCCAAGTAGGGTAATCCTTAAATGTGCTGCATAAGTCACTCACACCGGCAGAGTAAAGTAAGTTGAGATATCCAGAAAAAGGGAACAGAGAGAATATAGAGCTGAAACACTTTGGGGGACAAAAAAACTAAATGAATTTGAAAGATACATCACATTATTGAATAGAGCACACAGCATATAAAGTAAAAACAAATGATAGAGAGAAAAAGGAGGTGTTAGGGTGCAAATTAATAATGATAGTACAGGTTGGCTTGTGTAACTTTTCCAACTCCAGGAACATATAATCTGAAGATTTAGTTCCACTTGTTAACAGGATTTACTGTATTTTAATGATAGTTACTCACCTTTTTGAAAGGTATCGTTTCTCATCACCTTTACTCAGGTTAGTCTTTTTCTCATCCTCTGCTTCTCGTCCTTGGTCTGCCTTCTGTGAAATTATTCAAAGTAAAAACAATGAAAACAAACAAGCGGTGCAAGTGCATCGCAATAATTTGGAACCAAAAACACTTTTACATGTTAATGTTAATGTCTATGCACACTTATACACTCAATCAACCTGATGAATGGACATTAGCAAAGTAAACCCAGAAATGAAGTACACTCAAGCACTTCCAGTGTGATGCTGCATGGCATCAAATTCACAATCACTACAGCTCACAGATCTCTATCATTGCTGTATAATGACTGACACCCACATCAGTTTGATAACTGACCTTCAGCTGCCTGGCAGGACGGGTTTTATCCCCAGAGGAAGAGGAGGATTGTGGTGAGTGTGAAGAGGAGTCTGATTTGGAGTCAGAATCTGATGAGGAACCTGAATCTTGGGGCTCAGTGACAGACACCCTGCCTTTGCTGGCTATCTCCTCTCTTTTATACTTCTCCTTTTGCAGTTTCTCCTCTTTTCTCTTCTCCTCTTCCTGGCGTTTTCTCTCTTTCTCCTCTTCCTGACGTTTTCTCTCTTTTTCTCGCTCTTCTTTCTGACGCAGTTTCTCCTCTTCTTCCAGTCGTTTCCTCTCCTTTTCCTTCTCTTCTTCCAAACGTTTCTTCTCTCTCTCCTGTTCTTGTATCTTCCTTCTTTCTCTCTCCTGCTCCTGTTGTTGTTCTCTCTCCTTTTCTTCCTTCAGTCGCCGCTCTTCCTCCATCTCTCTGTTCTCCTGTAGCCTCTTTTTCTCCAATTTTTGCAGTGGAGATTCACTGGAACTGGAAGACCCAGCAGCAGTGGAGCGTGCCTTCTCTCCTGACATATCTGCAGCTGAGGTGGCCTCCCCTGCACGGAAAGCCCCCTCTGACTCCATCTTGTGTACAAGCAGAGAAAGAGGCCCTGGCCTGCGCTTCATAAGGGGCTCAGGACTGCTGGAACGAGAGCTGGAGTCAGAGTCTTGCCTCTGCAAGGTGGAAGGTGGGAAAGGCGCAACCCTTGGACCACGAGCAGCCCCAGGGCCTTCTCCCTCCTGGTCGTCTGGGTCTGGTGGACTCTGCTTGGGAGTATCTGGAAGTGGAAATAGGTCAGGGGGTGGAGAGGGAGGAGGAGTAGGGTGGCGCAGTTGCATTGGGGTGTGTTGAGCCTGTGGTGGTGGGATGTGCTGCGGAGGCTGAAGCTTGCGTTTGGATCTTGCAACTGTTGATGGGACACTGGGGGGCATCTGCTGCGGCTGCGGAGGTGCTCTGTTGCCCCTACGTGCTCCACCAGGACCGGGCCCCCAGTCCTCGTCATCCTCGCTTTCATCATCACTGCTGTCATCTTCATCATTGTCCTCGTGGTCGTGTCTTCCTGCTGAGACCCCGGCAGATCGGCTAAGGTGTAGGACAGGATGAGCTGATCCTGGTTCACTCGGTGCGGTGCCCTCTTTCTCCTGGGCTCGGGATACAGCAGGGGGCAGCCCCTGGCGGTCAGGCTGGCCCAGGACGCGCACTGACAGAGAGGCTACAGCGCGGGGAGGAGAGGGAGCTGGTGGCTCCTTATGTCCCTGATGAAAGGTGGCTCGCTGCATTCTAGCTGCTGGAGCCTCAAGGGACTCCTGCGGGTGGAGGGTAGGACCGGGGCCCATATCAGGGCCGCATGCCATCAACCCATGACCCACAACTGAATGCCCTCCTTTCTCCTCTGCCCTGGTCATTGAGGGCTGGGTGGGTATGGAGCGATGCTGCTGGGCAAAAATAATGGGGTCAGTCTGAGAAAAGCCAAGATGACTATATTTGTATATACAGCCATTAACGTGTTTTTAGGCATTTACAAGCAAGTAATAGTCATTTCCAGGTTTATAATGACTACACTGTTCAAACAACTAAGGGTTTGACATTATTTTGTGATGTAAAAAGCATCATTTTGGATGAATATTGAGGTTTCACAACATTATCTGATCAATGTTTAGCAGCTTAACGTGTCCTGTTCTGTGGGATCAATTCATAGTTTCCCTTATTTTACTATTCAATGTGTGGAGGTTACTGACTTTGTCAGAGACATAGGAAGAGCTGTCATTGTCCTCTGAGTGGTCGTCATCCTCCTCCGGCACTGCTGGGCTCTCTGTCAGAAAGGGACATGAGGCAGGGGTTAAAGGTCAGCACCAGTGTGAGGATTAATACACACGTCCACTGGTTCCCAACCAACAACAACCAAGGACTTTTGAATGAAAAGTGTTTTTCTATAAACCATTATGGCAGCTTAGCGTGCATTTGTGAGCATGTTCATAAAAACATACATGAAATTAGAAGAGTACAGATGTTTCAGCATAAATGAACAGGACAGCGGAAGAGAAAGTTTGTGGGAGAGAAAGACACAAAGATTATTCAGTATTGTTTGTTTTTTGGATTGTGTGTGTGTTCATGTGAATGTTATACCATCTGCCTCTTCATCTTGCTGGGCTTCTCTCTCCAGCCTCTGACGGAGGAGCTCCTGCTGCTTGGCCAGGTACTGTTTTATGAAGCTATTCTGGCTCATCTCCTCACCTATCTACAACACAACAAAGTACACAGAACACCACTTTATTAATACCTCTGCACTGTAACACTGTAACATGTACAGAGAACATACACAGAGAAACACAGAAACATTGCTAGTAACACAAAATTGATGCGGCACATTAGACGTTACAACAAGTACTTAGGAACTGTTTATCTTTGTAGGGAATATTCTGTGGGGTTGATCTCACGCCAATAAAGTACAGGAATTGTGCATGTCTACAGAACTTTCAAGGCCCAGACATCTGTTGATAAAGGTCACAGAAATGCAAAATGTCTTCGTACCTGTGAGTTGGGCTGCAACCCACTGTGAGAGGAAGATGACTTCTGAAGATTTTCCAGCATCAGAGCCTGCAGGGAACAAGGGAGAGGAATTATAGTCGACACATTTTGTGGCATATGATTTTGTGAGTTGGCTGCTTTCTACTCACAACTGCAAAAGTACATTTGTAATTTGTCAGGGCACGTGATAAGGTAGTTTTGTTATTAGTTTATGAAAAGCTAAAGCAGGTATTTAGCAATGGAATTTGAAAAGAGAAAAATAATGTGGACCTATGTTTTATTTGTAACAGGATACTTTATATGATGTTTTTGGTATTAATCAGAGTCGTAACATCAGTAATTTACACTCACATATAAAGATTTAAAAAAAAAAAAAAATTGCAAATACCATATGTGTCATCATAAATCAAATTGCAAAGGACCATTGTTGGTACCAAACCCAGACAATGGTGCGTTACTATGATCTTAAAGTGCCATTAGTGCAGCCTCATTTACACACTTGGTTTAGTTGTACCTTGGCCCAACACTTGCCTGTGTGGTATCATTCTCACTTTGTATGCAAATCACTGGTCTCCAGTCTCCACCTACAGAAACTTTAATGACGGTTGAACTCACTGTCTATGGCATAATACTGTGACCTGAGATATGATGTATAAGTTGATATGCATGCATTTTTAAAGGTTCTGCTTTTAAAGTCCTCTGTATTTTTTTTCTGGGAAATATGGGATGTTTAAATTCAGAAAAGTAACACTTAACACACTTTACATAGAGATGTTCTGGTGGTTTAGTGATTAAGATGCAAACCATACCAATTACAACCCTCTTCCACATCATTAAACTTTCTCTCAGCCATGTCCACTGTTTTCACAATACAATATAAATAATTATTCCATATTTCAGACTACTACAAACTACGTTTCGGCCAAATAAACAAAATAATCAGTTATTTCCCCACAATCATTGTATTCCTGGCAGTGTGGAGAGGCTTTTTTAAAATTTACTTTTTGAGATAAAATGTACAAACATCGTAAAATAACACTTAAGTAAAAGAAACGTTTAAAATTTTGGAAAAATAAATGTTTATGCTTTAATCTAGATGTTTAGTAACATTTTAACTAGAGGGGGGGAGGGGGGACTCATGACCTCGGTATTTCTAAAAATCCTAGCGACGGCCCTGAAACCTATGCTTGTTCATGGGCTGGACATCTAATCCAAAAACAACAATAATGTCGATAAAAAAACAACTTAAAAAACAAAACCGAACAAATCACTCGCCGGTGAGGCTCGTCAAAATGTGTGTTTACATCGCGACGCGCGTCCCCGTAACCCCCCACTCACTCACACACACACACACACACACACGGAGCGCGGGCACGGCCGTGTACTGTACACTATGTGCGGCTGTTCGCTTGCTTACACTCGGCTTAGGCCTCGACTTGACAGGTGCACAGTTCAACTGTGTGCAACACGGTGCACTGCGAGTAGTTGCACATTAAGTGTGAACTCCGTCGGTGGGTAGTTTCGTTGTACCGCCAGTTACAAATAACCGGCAAGAAAAACTGTTGTTTGTGTGTAATAACGTGTGCCAGGCGGTTTATGTATTCCCGCTTCCGAAGCCCACACACCGTTACGGCCTCTAACGTTACTGTTAACCCCCACCGTCTCTCGCCTGCTGCTGAACTTAGCCAGACTCGACAGGCGTCCGTCATTTACGCGAAAAACTTACCCCTTTCAGTCGTTTAATGAGTGTGTTTTTCTGCCCGCTCTTTGGGAGGTTTCTTTGCTCCAGGGCGGCTTTTAAATCCGCGACTCGGAGCGATTGTAGAGGTTTTCCATCAAGCGTAATATCTTCGTCCGCCATTTTGCTCCCTCCGCTTGTCTAAACTCCCAACAAGCGTCGCTACGGCTGCTGCTCGGCGTCACAGCTCGGCAGTTTCCGGAAAGGCTCGGTTTGTCCGAATCGCGTAACAGCACTGTGACAGTTGTAAAACATTACTGGGCCAATTTAGGCCCATAGGCCATAGCAACGCAATTTTAAAAGTTTTTATTTGGAGTTTGAGTAGTCTAGGAAAAAGTAAGGTCTGTAGAGTAGAACATGCACCAATTATTGTTTTGGCACAGCAAATAGAGACAATAAATAACATTTTTTGACAGACTAATATTGAAATCAATGATCCAAACGCATTTGTTTAATTGCAAAAGATGTATTTGTGCATTCTGAACAGGAATACAAGACAGACATCAAATGTAGTGTTAAAAGTAAAAGAGATTTAGGTCTTCTTACTGTAAGAGAAAATCAAAGATTCACTTCTATACCTCAGCAAATACGGATAAACAGACTCAGAACTGAGTTCACATAGTGTAAAAAAACTTTCTTGTACAAAAGAAAATACAGCCGTATCTTTGAACTGTAACATATTTTTCGGAAGCAAAAAACAAAACTTTTGTTCGTTGTAAATTACCCAGAAAAATCACCCCAGGTGAAGGATGTGCATATATAAAATCTGAGCAAATTAAAGCCATGCAAACTGGAAAGCAAAGAACAAAAAATTGACCATAATAAATACAGAGTTAAAGGTTACTTGCCGATCATGCTCTCCTCATACATACAGTATAGAGCCTGTTTTGGCAGGCAGGTATTTATTAAGTAATACTTCAAACCTCCACAAGGTGTCACTGCAGCAGGGAAAATGTAAAAGCAGGAAGATAAGAGTATTCTTCAAATAATGATTTAAACTGAGCCAAACAACTGATTATGCAATGCTCTGGTGATACTGATTTTAAATCTGAAAAATAAAACTTGAATATAAAGTTAAGAAACATGATTGACAATACAGAAGATAGATCTTAACACTATTATAATCAAGCTTTGTTGAGCACCCTAAAGATGAAGCTGGTGTTTGTTTACAAGTTAACATTTGTAGTGTACATGTGAGAAAACCTCATGTTTGTTTAACGTCCAGTCTTCCAGACTAACATATTGCATCTGATTGACGGGTATAAATGAAATGAGAGGTGAGAAAGTAATACAGTGGTCTGAGATAGAAAACAGGTTTTCGTTTTGTTGGATTTGAAACAAAATTGTCCCATTTCAATCAACAAGTGAGCTGTGCTTGATTTTACCGTTTCTACTAGGGCTAGGCGATATGGTTAAGCTCTAGTACAAATACAGTGAACGGTTTTCCACTGCTATTCTTTACATTATTACTGAATTATATGTATATAATACCTGGTCTTAGTGTCTACAGTACGCCGACATGAAACCATCAAAGCAGCTTGCAACATCTTGCAGGAAATAAATATGAACTGCAAAGAGCATCAAAGCAATTTAAGCATGCAGATCACAACAAGACGTGTGCAGACAGGTGAGCTCGGTCAACTGGTTTATTATCCATTTCCAGGCTACCACGTGACTGTGGGAAAGAACAGGATGAGGCAATTTTCCCACCCAACTATCATTATTCACTCAAGTCGCTGTATTGATTCTCAGATATTATCTCTGTCTGGCAGACTTTTATTTTTCTTCATGAGGTGTGTAAGACTGCATGAATGTAAACTGACATGTGTTGAGAGATGATTCTTGTAATCCTCAGGCAGTGGATTACACGCTGTACTGCAGTTAATCTCTGCTTTTTAGTGGAAATGGGTACTACACAAAACACAACACATACTTGCACAGATTAAGAATGGAAGTCGGGCAAGCTTCCTTCTCCACACCCTATTCCGTTTCTCCCATATTAAGCCCCAAACACTCGATATGCTGCTTCAACAGCCTCAGAATGAGAATCACAAAAGGCCTTTCAGGTATCACAGTAAAAAGTAGGCCAGAACCAGGATGTAAGGCCTCCTTCTGTGCTATTTTTGGAATAGGGGGATGGCTAAATAAATAGAGGAGGGAAGGAAGTGGCTATCATATGAGGGGAAGAAAATATGGCAAAACACAATAAAGCAAAGCTCCCAAGATAAGCAGTCCCCACGGACACTCAAAGCCATGGCGGGGCTTAAAATATTCAATAAGTTAACACTCAAAAAGACAAGTGTGCCTGGTGTCAAAGTACAGAGGTCAGTATATAAACAAAGGCAAACCAACACACACTTGGAGGACAGAACCAACACAGTCAAAACCCAGCTTAGTAACAGCTGCAGCGAAGGTCCTTGTTCCAGGATTCAACTTCGCTTGCTTCAATCCCATTCGAATGAAAAGGTAATGAGAGAGTCTGACAACAAATAAGGCATTTCAAAGAGGGAAAATATACGTGTAGTGTAAACAAAGTTTTTAAGCAAGTGATATGAAATATCATGAAGATATTTCTGCCAGACGCTGGAGCAGAGTGGAGAAGCCAGCTGCTTGCTGGGAGAGCTCAGCTACGCGGTCCACCATCTCCTGGGTGGCGGATACTGATGGGTAGTTCTGTGCAGCACCCTTTGTTGCAACGACAACTGACTTCAAGGCCTGGCAGAGTCGTCCCCCCGAGGTTGTGATCTGAAGTACAGAGAAGAAATGAAAGCAGAATTAATGCACAGTTTGTTTGTTTTGTTATTGTCCATTAAAACAAAAACATGTTTGTCTTCCTCAGGACGGCTATAATCTGTGCATTTTTTCCTCAGCATACAAGCTGTGTCTCATGACTTCACGCAAATAACATCGTACACATACCTTGGCCCGGAGGTCGGCAGAGGAGAGAAGGCGGGAGAGCGTGTCCCCAATGAACACCAGCTTGTGTGCCGTCACAATGAGACTCTTCCCTCTGGCCACGAAGATGCGGGGCGGTTGGTTCCCCTGCACGCTGCTGAAGAGCACATCGATGGCGTCTGCCAGGCAGGAGAGGTGAGCGAGGCTCTGAGAGGAATAAAAGGACAGCAGCTCCGAGTCCTCCAGGGAGAGGGACACCGGCAGAGCGGGTGATGGGGTCAACTGTATGAGGAACGGTGAAATTAGTATATGTAAAGGAAAGTCATGCTACAGAGTCAAATATGTCACTGCTGCTAAATGTAGCATTTAAATATAATGTACTATAACATAACAAAATGAATGGAAAGTAACAGAAATAACACAGGAAGATAATAAGTGAGGTTTGCTTCTCACTGATGGCCACAGAGGTGTATAACTGTGTTTATGTAGTATAGGACATGTGCAGTCAGACACGTTTGTCGTGTTTACAACTGAACTTAAAAGCCAGAGAAAGTCAGACACATACACATACAGTACGTCAGCCAGTGGCACTGTTAAAGGAATGAGTTGAATGAATGCTTTTCTGTCACTTTCTGTCCTGAAGTCTCCATTGTATGTAAGGCAAGATTGTGAGGATTCACAACTGACTTCTTGTTTGACGTCTATGGCGTAACCAAGTAATCGAGCAGGGAGTAGAAAAAAATGCAGACTGAGTGATAAAACATGACCTCAGTCTGAAGCAACAGAAGGCAAAACTGATTAAAGAGATAACACAAGACAATACGTGATTGTAAATATTGCTAATGTATGTTATGACAAGTCAACAGCTGTCGGCCTTGGATTCAAATGAAAGCTTTTGAATGTTACAAACAAACTTTCTTAATCTCCATGCACGATGGATGGATGTACAGACTCAGCAGACAGAAATCAACCGGGGATAATCTGATATTAAGTCAGGTGGCTTTGGGTAAGCATAGTAAGCGTAGACTAAAGATAGGTTTCGACCCACATCAGAAGGCAAAGAGCTGCTGCAAGCTGGATTAATGAGTCACTGTGCTCATTAGTAAACAGAGCGCACTGTGAACAGAGTGAATCAATGACTTATCTGTGCAGACTTGCTGCGTGTGTTTCTGTACAACAGAAACTGCTAAAGAATGACAGCCTGTGGATCGTAGCTAAGGATTATCTATATGGAGGTAAAATACAGTGGAAGAGACTCACTCTCGGCTCTGCAGTAATAGTTTGAGTTTGTCCGTTCTCAGTCAGGGCGTCAGGAGGTGGCTCGGGTTTACCCTTGTGTGGAAAGGAGAAAAGAGTCAGGCAATGTTTACAGATGCATTTACAATCCATGTTTGGCTGTTTTGTAATGTGCACTCATGATAAGAAAGAATAGAAACCAGCAAAAGGTACAGAGTTGTTGAAGCACAAAAAACACTAATTGAAACTAGCCTGCAAAAGTCAAATGTTTCACACATGCTGTTTTACAATTAATTAATTTCATCATGAAAGCTAACCTGCAGTTTGACGTATCCGACACTGTCTCCAGTAGGCACTGGGGCAGGGATGGGGGTCAAGCCGATCCCTGCGTACTCATTGCTGGGGTCATCTTCTCCATCATCAGGGCCCACTGTCAGCGTCACAGTCGATGGAGTCGGGGGCAAGGGGAAGGCGGGTTGAGGGGTTGGGGGCAGTGGCCTCTCCTGGATCCAGCTACCTTTACGGGAGCCCATCCCACCTCCTGAAGACTTCCCGTCAGGCACTGGGAGCGCGGGCAATGGCCTGCGGGACAGGGAGTCTTGGGAAGGCAGACGGGGTCGGCCCTGAGCCTGCAAGAGGAGGGCGCTTTCTTCGAGGGACCGCTGGACCAGCAACAGGAGCCCTTCAGATGGAGGAGCGTTACCAACAGCGGACAGCGCCGGAAGAAGGTCCGACAGACGAGCCCATGCCTGCTGAAGAGGTGGCGGAGGATCATCTGAATGACTGGCTTTCCAGGTCGACAGGATTTCTGCCAGCGAGGTGGCTAAATCCCGTGACGACAGAGTGGAGGCCGAGCAGGAGGTTGTGCTCAGCACCGCGTGAACAAGGCTTGAAAGCGAGGCTCTCCACTGCACGTCACCTGAACCGTTGCTAGAGACCGAGAGGCGGCGAGTAGAGGTGGAGGAGGATGACAAAGAGTGAGGGAGGACATCCACGGTCAAAGCAGGCATGTCATAGATGCCACAGTCGGGCTCAGAGGAGTCCCGGTTATGACCTCCGCCGTTGGCTCGTTTCTCAGGTCCGGGGACACGATACACTTGTCCCGCATCCTCGCCAGTGAGGCTAGTGGTGGACTCCCCTGGGCCCAGAGGAACACCAGGAAGGGTTGGGACACTGTATACATCGTCATCAACTTCATCAGGCTGGACATCTGAGGTGGACACATTCAGAGTGATGGTGGGGACATCATAGACCTACACATTGGGGAGAAGACAGAAGGAATGTTTTGAAATGTGCTGTTATGATTATGATTGTGCGGACAGAGGATAATTTCTATGAGCAGTGACACAATGTATCCATTGTACCATAACACCATATGAGGTTTCTGTGTCAGTGCTGCATTTAAGGCCAGCTTCATCCACAATAGAGTAGCTACGCAGAGTTTGAAACAATACAAGTGTTGCGTGCCGTGAGTTCAGAAGACTTTAAACCTTGCATGTGCATGGGTTATCAGGCTGAATTAATGTAAGTGGGCAGAGACACATTTGTCCTCTTAAACAGCCATGTGTAAGAGCAATGAGTCTGCAGTCCATATACAGTATTTAAAAAGGCAAAGAAAAACAAAATAATCCAACAGCTGGCAGACATATCCAAGTAACATTAATGAGGGGACCACTGGGGGAAGGGTGCTGGTGGTATGGCCTTGACATGGCCCTGACAGATGGGTGTGACTGAGAGAAAATAGCAGCAGCATTTGGACTGGATAGACAGGCTCCCACAGCAGACAGAGACAGGTGTGGCCTCGCCTTGAAGGGGGGCAGGGACACAGAAGGATGTTGGAATGTGAGAAGAAATGGCGACAGGGTGTTTGATAGTCATCTCTTGTTAGTGAACCGCTTCACTTGTGCAGACATGAAATCAACGGTTTGCTACAGTTCACAGATCATCTTTGGTAAACCATAACTTCCTTTATTCACTAAACCCTTTTTCTTCGCTGTATGAAAGCATATGCACATGGTAGTTAATACTGTTTTAGATGGTGTTTAAAGCCTTCCCCTCAATTTACAATTTATGGTAGTTATTAATGTGAGGGGAGATTAAACAGGACAAGATATACCTAAAAGGAAACTCCCTTTTAGAAAACAGGTTCTTATAAGATCTGTGGTTCAGTAAAGATGCTGTCTTTACCTCCGTCTCAGAGTCGGTTTGTGGTGGGACATAGCGAGGGGTGTCATAGATGCCATCATTGTCATCGAGGCCAGATGGGACTGGACGCTGCCACCTGCCACTGGGAGGGGTGTCATACACCTACAAAGGCAACAAAAGCACAAAACCAAATTATGATTACAGGCCGTGGTCAAAACATGTTGAGGAAACAAGTAAATCCACATCACCCACAAACTCTGTACGAAATACATATATAATTAATTTCTAGGCAGAGCAAATGTTTCAACAGTGCGGTACGAGAAGCAGCCGTCACATACCTGATCATCCACGGGATCCGAGTAATCCTGATTTTCTCCCTTTTTGTTCTGCACATTGCGTTTTTTCTCTAGGCCATTATGCGTCCCGTCCTCTTTACTCTGAAGAGTTCCCCTCTGTTTGTCCACCTCTTGTTGCAGGTTTGAAGGAGTGACCTGAGCAGTGGGTTTGGGGGCAGAGTTAGAATCAGCTGAGGATGGCGCTGCTTGTTGTGCATCTTTTCTGGTGACTCCCCTCACAGGAGGTGCTGGTGGAGGAGGTTTGCGAGCAAAATTTGGTGATCCAGGAACCCTGATCTGCCCTGCTCTGACCAGCAAAGGGGACCCTCGGTGAGAGGCCAGGCCAGGTTTTCCTCTGGCAACAGCATTGTTGGGTGACACTCCCTTGAGCAGAGGTCTGGGGGATGCTTGGGCAGGGGATAACTGAGATGGGTGCTGGTGGGCCAAAACTGTAGCTGAAGTCCTATGAAGGCTTGCTCCCACAGGTGTGGGTGTTTGGTACATCCCTGGTGTGTCCTGGCTCACCTTTGGCTGAGGCGTACTGGGTGATCCACAGACTATGGAGGGGCCATTAGAGCAGACAGCGGTGGCCACAACTCCTCCTGTTGGGGATTGGTAAACATCGTCACCTGCGAGTGGTGTACCTTTGGGCACCAAGTAACAGTCGTCTGTGGTTAGTGTTTCTCTAGGGACTAAATATGTAGTGTCCTCTGGTTCATCCGCTGCCCTCGGCACTCCAGTGGGGGCGAGGTACACAGACTCTGAAGCCATGAGAGCTCCTGGCTGCCTGGCATGCTGAGCTGCTAAAGGCATCGGACTTACTGGAGTCTGATAAAGTGATCCTGTCATGTCTGTGCCTCGTCCTCTCAGAGAGGGTGAGCGTGGGCGCCCCGCCACCCCAATGTCCCAGTCAGGCCTGGGCCGTGTGCCAGAGCTGGAGTGCGAGCGTGGGCGCCCGCCCTCAACTCTTCGAAGCTCCCCAGGCCTTGAGACAGCTACAGCTCCTCGTCCCTCACCCACACCTGGCGGCGAACGGTACACTCCATCTATGTCCTCTGCACTGCCGCTGACAGCAGTCCGGGCCAGTGGGGAACCAGGCGACAGGTAGACAGAGTCCTCAACAGAGCCGTGACGGTCTGAGCCTGGGGGTGGGGCAGTCTGGAGGAGTCGAAGGCGGTTGGCAGGGGCAATGCCCTGTCTGCCATGCAGGGAGCAGAGCCACCAGCCCGGACCGCCACTCTGCTCTTGTTCAAGAACCATCAGGATGTCACCCTTCCGGAAAGCCAGCTCCTCCGGGCTCTCTGCCGTGTTGTCGAACAGCGCCTTTGCCAATACAGTCTGAGAAAGAGTGCGAGACAAGAGTAGAAATCATACACGGGCCCTCTCATTCAGTAAATCACACACCAAATGGCCACATGAAAGTAGGATTTAATCGACAAGAATACATTCACACAAGCTAGTGTCTCACATCTGCACGCCACAAACAACCAACTACATTGACATGGCAATGCCAAGTCAGGAGTATAAAAAGGTTTATTGTTTAGAGCAGTTGAATGGAGAGTGAATAGGAGTGAATAGGGAAGATCTCGACAAACGTCCGCGTGAGGGAACGAGGGACAGGAAGATGGTGGGTGAACACACACAAAAAACTAAATTAAAAAACCTAACATCATGACGAATTTGAAATTCACAGCTGTGTCGGTAATGGTGAAGCAGAGAGAAAGAGGGGCACAGTAAGGGAGGATCAATGATCAAATGGACACAAGGGCTTAATGGTAATGAGCAGGATGAGAGGGAGGGGGGAGGGGACGAGAGGCACATCTGTCCCTTGCTGTTTAGGACTTAATTGCCAACCCAAAGCCAGAGAGTCAGGCCCCCTTTTATTTTCTAAACCAACCCCCTGGGGACAACTAGGCTCCATTGAGCCATGTGGGACCCCCTTAGAACAGTAATGGAGGCAATGAGGATCCTGATTAAAATAAATAGATATGGTGAGGGCAATAAACAAAAGCAAAAAAACAGAAAATAAAATGCTTTTTGATTCAAGTTTGCACGGATCACACGTGTCCATTATTTAGATACCATCCCAATAAGCACACACACACACACACACAGATTCATACAAACAAAAGAGACATGTACTGTACTCACGGAGACAGACATTGTTGCTAGAAGTTAACAGTTATGTCTCTGAGAAACTATAACTCAAGTGGTCCCGGTCAGTCGGGGTCATCCATCTAGATCAGCTGTGGTTCCCGTGGACGTGTGGGTCGCCAGAGACACTCGGTGCAGAGGCACAGCTGGGTCTGGGCAGGACACATCTCCAAGTCCGAGCGCCTCGTCGTCTCCGCCTTCATAAGGATCCTGCAATCCGCCCAGAAACGCCTTTTACATTCACTTTTAATATAAAAAAACAAAAACACCGACACCAACCTCAACTCACAACGTTACAGGACACACGTGAAATGAGAAGCTGAGGCAGTGGCAGGCAGACAGGCAACACCTGTCTGTCCTTTCCACGCCCAGTAACGTTACGTTGAACGCAACCCGTTCGGCGAAAAAGCTAACGTTAGCTTAGCATCGTAGATAACTAAGCGGCGTCCGCTCGCTATCAAACATACCTCGCACAGTTGAGTGTGTGTGCCCGCTGGTCGTGTTGTACGCTCACTCGTTTTGACCAGTGGCGCTGGCTATGTTGTCGCGGCCTAGCTTGCTAACATTATCTGGATAAACGTCTGGTTTATCTCCCATCGCCTTTCGCTGCTAACGCTAAAGTTCAGTTCAAAACAACAATGGCACCGCCGGGTATCAACCGCTAAAGCAGACGTATTTCACAAGAAAAGCAGCCGTTATAAAATAGTTACCTTGCATCTTTTTCTTTTTTCTTACTGCCGACAAACTTCACATCGGCGTACAGTCCGTGAAACGTAAAAAAAAAAAAAAAATCACTTCTTTTCAGGCGTGAAAATCTGTGGCCATCGGCGTTCAATCATCTTCAGCGATGACAACAGAAGTAGCCCCGCCCCCTCAGAGGTTTACGCAGTCCACTGATCTGATGGCGTAACGTGAGTGTCGACGCCACTCTTTAGACCCATCCACCGTCTGTGAGATCGTGTAGGACCCCGCAGCTCGGTGTACGCTGCCTGTGCGTGATTGGTTAGTTTTTTTTGTGGGTTGCGTTTAAAGACGTCCGAATTTGGCAGTTACCCAAAAAAAAAAAGTAGGCTGTTAATTGAGAAAAACAAAGACAAAAAACATGTGCCCAAAAGTGCTGCTATCATCGGACGGTACTAAAAAAAAAAAAAGAAATCTAAATTCTCTAAACAAATGGCATGATTGTTTTTAATGGGCTCGGTTGTACGAGCAGCGTATTGCGTTGGGCTGCTTGTTGTGGGCTTTTATTTTGACAGCTGGACTCTTACCCGGAACATACTGTCTGTAGCGAGTAGCAGCACTTGGATCGTCGGTAGTCAAAAGTCCAGACCGGTCATTTGACAAATTCTACTTCTGTACAACCTCATGTTCAATTTTGCATAAACTGCAGGGTGAGATAATGCTCCCGATCACATTTACATGCTTGCATTTGTTACTTATACAATTTAGCCCACTGCGTAAAAGCATAAACTTGCATAAAGTTGAGCGAGTCTGCCTTTGATCAAGTGTTTTATCATTGATTTAGAGTCACCGTGGATCAAAACGTGTATTATTACTTTTAAGTGACTATTATAAAAGCGGTTCCCAACTTCTTTCACTATATCTCTCAGCACTCAGCTTGTGCACAGCTGCTGTCAAAGTCCACATGACCTCTGCCCTAGTTACCCAGTGTTTTCTTTAAAAGATATGTGTGGCCATTCTCTGTTCACAGGTGATGTTTAGGAGTGTATTCAGGTGCCTTAGGACCAATCCTGTTGCTGGCCAAAGGACTATGTCTCAAAGCAGCCTTGCTGGAAAGGTAGCTATAGTGACTGCCTCCACAGATGGGTAAGAGATACACAATTAAAGTCTATACTGGCTTTAAATACACAGAACAGCAAGAAAAAGGCAGGTATAGCAATCTACACTAGTTTGTGATCTTTTGAGCAAAGCCCAGCAAAGACAAACTCTCTCTCTATATATATATATATAAAATAAGAACATCATGTAACACAGCTACAATACACTGATGATAATAACAGCTGTTACACACTCGATCTTTTACTGAGATGCTCTTCTCCTCCTCAGAATCGGTCTAGCTGCAGCTCAGGCTCTGGGGAAGAGAGGAGCCCACGTGGTGGTGAGCAGCCGACGGCAGGCCAACGTGGACAAGGCTGTGGCACTGCTGAAGAGCCAGAGCATCCAAGTGACTGGGACCACCTGTAATGTTGGCAAGGAAGAAGACAGAGAGAAACTGGTTCAAATGGTGAGTAGTTTTATTTTATCAACCTGTATGTGGGTTCTCAGACAAGTTGGAGTTGCATGCTCAGTAATTATCAGGTTGTCTGTAATTCATTTGACTCATAAGTTAAATAATTAGTCTCCTTCTGTGTTTGGAATAGACTCTGGATCAGTGCGGGGGCATCGACATCCTGGTGTCCAACGCAGCAGTCAACCCTTTCTTTGGAAACATCATGGACTCCACAGAGGACGTCTGGGACAAGGTACACATTACACATAAAGTAAAAGTCAGAAAAGAATAAAGGAGTGTTCAGATGAGTCTGTGGCTCCAATTATTCGCCTTCCTTTCATTTATTTTAACAGAGGGATTGTTTTAATTGTGAAAATGATATATTTGGCGCGATTGTTCCTTCATTTCTTTCTAGATCCTGTCTATAAATGTGAAATCATCCTTCCTCATGACTAAGCTCGTGGTGCCTCACATGGTGAAGAGGGGGTGAGTGGCAACTTATCTGACAAGTATTTGTCAGAAATGGGAATAAACCTCTCCACTGTATTTTTGATGCATCTGTATTTTTTCTTCCAGGGGGGAAATGTGGTATTTGTGTCATCGGTGGCAGCTTACCAACCAATGCAGGTCAGTGAGAGTATGAGCAGATAGGAAAGATGTATGTGAGTGTTAACAGAAACCTTGTTCTGAATTGTTTTGCACCCACTAACTTAGTTTTACTTTGTTTCTTACTGTTACGCTGAGCTACACTGAGTCAAGTCCATGAGTCAAGAGTTGTTTTTCCTGTAATACATGCTGTAAAGTAAGACCTGCATTTAAACTAGTGTGTTGGTCTTTAATTACCACCCCACTTTTGTGGACGATCCACTCATTAGACCCGTATATTTTTAGCACCAATTTTTAGACTGCCTTGAAGGTAGGGAGACACCATATTTTTTTAGGGTTTTAATTTAAGGTTAATATTTTGAGGACTGGGCATTTTAAAAAGATGAGCATTTAATCAGCAATACATATTTTACATGTTAATATTAATTTAGCTTTACATAGTGCTAACCGTCTGTGGAATAGTGGGTTTTAAATATGTTAAAAACTGTCTTTGGCTTCATCACACAGAATTAAAAACAGTTAAAAAAAACATGTTAAATCCAGCTGTAAGATGTAGAAATGATTTTGAGGTGACAAACAAACTCCTGACAAAGTTCAGGTTATACTGTAGACTGCAGGTATTCAGGGGGTGCTAAGTTTATTTTTAACAGCTTGGTTTCTTGTTTTGTTGTAATTCTATAAACTTAAACACTTGCTGTAGTGTACGTGTGTGTGTGTGTGTGTGTGTGTGTGTGTGTGTGGTGTGTGTGTGTGTGTGTTATGGACACTGTGTCTCTGTCTCTGCAGGCCCTGGGTCCTTACAGTGTGAGTAAGACAGCCCTGCTGGGTCTGACCCGGGCGCTGGCTCCCGAGCTGGCTGACAGTAACATAAGAGTCAACTGCGTGGCCCCCGGTGTTATCAAGACCCGCTTCAGCTCTGCGGTGAGGAGAAAAACACACTCTTTGTGACATACACTCAAATCCTGTGTTGTATTGTTCTCATATGTTAGAGCTTACACAGTCACATGAGTTGTCTTTCATCTACTCAGTTATGGTCAAACGAAGACATCATGGACGAGTTCAAAAAGCAGCTCAGCATTAAAAGGTACAGCTCACACTCACATGGTCACTAATATACCGTACTAGGCACACATACACCATGTTTCACATTTCCTTTTGTTTTTTTTCCCCTTTAGAATTGGAGAGCCGGAGGAAATTGGTGGAGTGATTGCTTTCTTGTGCTCTGAGGAGGCTTCCTACATCACTGGAGAGACGATCACAGTGACCGGAGGGATGGCCTGTCGACTCTGAAGATCACATTTGCATTTGATTGTGTGTGTTCAGTGTAAATATACAGTATGTTATGATTATGATTATATTTTTATTACATCCACTACTCATCTGAAGTGCACAGCCAGATTAAAGCTGGACTAGATTAATACTTAAGAAACCTTAATATAACCAATTATTAAAGATTGTTGGGGTCTTTTAAGTGGCTGATGTTTTGTTTGTGTGAAGATTTCTAATCAAGATATTGAAATGTATAAAACATTCCTAAATAACACCCACAGACCAGGAATGTCCATTCTGATAGCTGTGATAATAAATGTTATTCTCCATCTGATAAATTGAAATTAAAAATTACATTTCTAAATAAATGGCTATTAAGTTTTTCAGTGGCCTTCAGTCAATGAGAGAAGCTCCTGGTTGATATCAGATGTCTGTAAATATAAATATGACTGTTCATTAATTACAGATCATACATTGTATGAGTTGGACGCCAGGAGCAGTTAAATGACCTTTAACATGGTGAATGAAATGCAAGATAGTGTACAGTGACACATTTTTCTCATACAAAATAAGCCTTTATTAACTGAGTATATTACATATGGCAGATTTAAAATATTTATAAAAGTTACATATTGTCCGGTCACTAATGTGATTATTCATCTTGGGGCTTGTTTTCCATGATGACTCCTTCCCCAAATGTTCAAAGTCAATCTGATTCAGCTACAGTGATGTCAAGATAATAAAAATAAATGTCCATCAGCCACAGTGGCTAGTTTATTTGTCCCTGGAGCTGGTGGAAAAAAACACACTCAGCCACAGAGTCCTTTTTTGTGGACACCAGACTTGGCGGCTACAAATCCATTTCATCATCTGTGTTTGCTGCCAGTGGACGTCAGGTCCCGCCGCGTCATCCCAGGTTTCCAGTACTCCCTCAGCGTGGGAACATAAGTGCCGTGTTTGGTCTTGTAGTAGCGCTTCATAAACAGCTGAGGGAGACAGAGTCGGTTAGAAAACACTGCAGACAGAACAGAGTCATCAGTATTTAAAAATGTACTGCGGCTTGTGGTATCTTTAATTCAAAGGTTAACATATTATATTTATATGAAACCAACCCTACAAACACTTTGCAATGGCTGTCAGTGTCTTGGCTTAAAATACTGTGACATGAGAGTGCAGATGATAGAGGGATTAAACTACACTCAGTCAGGTTACATAAAGACATCCTGGTGAAATCATCTTCACAACAGAATATCCATCAGGATGCATTTCAGTGCCAGATTTCTTGTTTTGTTTATTCTAAATCTCAAATACTTAAGTCTAATACTGAAAAGGCAAATGGACACATTTTCTAGGCCTTTCCCTGCCCACAGAAACCCTGTTTTCTCATGTTTTGAGAATACATACCCTGCCTTTGAAGTTCTTCGTCGCCTCATCCTCAGAATCAGCTACATAATCTTCACCGTCTCCTGGAAGGACCAACGTCTCTAAACATAAAAGTAAACACGGTTATACTAAAACCTGTGCAGGTGAAGGGTTTTCATTGTTCATCTTTTTAAAAATGTTATAATTCCCTGAATTCAATTCACATGATTTGTGTAAATCACCTGTGTTCCTCCGTTGCTGAGATGGAGAACTGCTTATACTCGGCAACACAGGATGATTTCTGTCGAGCAGAAACAACATAATTAAACCGTTAAGTTTCAATAGCCGGTCAGTGGTAACCAAGCAGCTTACTGATGTGCTGATGAGCTCTGCTGAGGAGCATTTATAATTTAAAGTCAACCACGTGTAACTGAAATGTAATCTCACTGGTAAAGTTTCTCTTTATATGACTGCAAATCTAAGAGGAAAGTATAGAGCACACATAAATTAAAAACACTAACATTTTCTCACAAAGACAGAAAAACCAAATGAAACTGGAAACATTGAACTAATTCAGTTGTTTTTATTGTATTTGTAGTACCACAGTCTACAATGCTAGTAAAAGTATCCACAATGTGTAACTTAATCTATTCTATATTTAACATTTTGTATTTAGAATATGATATTCATACATACAAACACAGTAAAATTCATCTAAATATGCTCTTGCGAGGTCAATTTAAAAATCTCTAGTTCTGCCATGTCACTGCAGGGATCACTAGTTTAAATATAATCATTCATAATTCAATGAAAAGGTAATTTTATCTAAGCTAGTTGACAAACTCCAAAACACACAATTTTTTTTTAAGCTAGTGGCTGAACACGAACTTGACTTAATGGCTAAGGCTTGCTTTGCCCCATGGGTACTGTATTTCCATGTCTCTTACTCTTTATCATCCGGGCCAAGAAAATCCGAGTCAGGCTTTTGCAGTTGGTCGCTCGCGCTTCTCCGTGTTGGAGCTTTGACCGCCGACTTCCTGCCCTGGTTCTGCTGTTTCGTATATAAGGATTTTCCTCCTCTACCGGAGCAGTTAGAGCCAGCAGAAGTCACTTGCAGCTTTTCGATAACAACTCTAGGTTGGCTGCTCAGACAAGACACAAAGATTGAGCAGAGGGACGGATCCTCAGGCAGGCGCAACTTGTTGACTACCAGCTGCGCCACGCGGGTTTCCAGGACTGCTCTGTTACACTCCTCGTTTCTCACGTCTTCTTCTGCCCCCTGCTCACCTCTGCCCTGCCCGAGCCCACTCGCTCCACTTCTAAAACTCTTGCTTAACCTCTTTGCTCCGGGTCTGTTCATGGCCAACACTTCTTCTTCTTCCTCCTCCTCCTCGCTTTCTCTTTCATCGGGCTGCTTGCGTTTCATTCCACTGCTTCTTTTTGAGTCATTGCTCTCCTCCTCCGCTTGTTCTCCGCCGTGTTTAGGATTCTGTCTCTGTTTAACCACAGTGAATTTTAAGTTCTCTTCCAAGTGCTCGTTTGTCTTTTTATTGGCTGACATTAGAGCGGGTACGTCCTCATTAGATATTAGTCCGATTACAGGGGTGATAACAGGTCCTTCGTTTCTTTTCTGTGTGCCATCGGACTTGTCCGCAGCGGACTTATCGCCTACTGTTGGTTGATTTGAAGGTACTTTTCCAGAGGGAGCCAGAGAGAGTGAAGCCAGGATTGAGTCTCCCATGTTTGGAGGGAGGGAAGCTGTAAAAAAGAGAAACAACAACATGTGGATAATGAGAATTATCTACATCAAAAGGCCTCAGTCATCCCAAGCAAGAAGTGAAGAAGTGATCTAGTTCTACCTGCAGTCTCCAGATGACCCAGACAGGTTTGATGTTCAAGCAATATCTTCAGGAGCTGGGGTTGGGTGGCCGCCCGCGCACACTCCTCCAGCACAGGAGGGGCATCGCTGAGCCACGACACAGTCTGGAGACAAATTATTAATATACAACCATTTACTTACATTGATTTTGAATCCAAATTTGTCAGCAGGTGTCTTTAGATTATTACTAGCTTTAATAACAAAAAGCACCCACTACCTGAGCTAGGCTGGGAACCGGAAGCAACTGGTCCAGTCGAATCAAAAACTCCCACAGCAGCTTCTCCAGCTCCTGGTCGAACTTTGGACCATAATCCACAGGAAACTCCTCCTGTCAGAGAGGAGAATAAGAATTATCAGCTGTTACATTTCTACGTACATCAACTGGGAAATGATCACAACAACGGCTGCTGCGTGATTGCAAATAAACACAACAAGAGAGGGACTCACCTTGAAGAACTGGTCTCTCTCGGTTGCGTCTGTTAGCAGCACGCGAACCATTGAATGGAAACTTTCCACTGTTCTCATAATTTTTACGTCCCTCTTCTAGGAGACAAAATAGCAAAAAAAAAGACAGATTTTAGGAACGTTTGCTGTAACGTTATAATCATCCTTTGTAATGCACACAAATATAAGCAGTACGTGGTATATCTGCTAAGTGACAGTTCTCATATCTTTATTGTTGTAATGTGATAAAGTTAGCATTTGTATTGCAGTTAAGGTATAGAGGAATGATGGTCTATCTGTTTAACCATTATATCCACATTACTCATGTTTTTTCCCCATCTCAGACCAGGTCCTCCCACCTTCTTCATGAGCCACCTATAGCAATGCCCAAACCTTGTAATATCATCTGTATCAAGGTATAGAGTCCAAAATATTGTGATGTTTAATTCTGTAATCACCTGTAATCTTTGGTGGGGGCTGTAATGTAGCAATGTGCCATGTAGCAGAAAGAAAATGCAGCTTTGTTTGGAAAAAAAAAACCCTACAAATTGTTGACAGTGATGAAAATGGAGATGCAAGTTGTTGTGAGATTCTGAACATCAAATATAATATTACCATAGTAGGAGCAGAGGAGGGTAACAGGGCGGCAGGAGCGCGGATCCTTTCCAGCTGTGGCATTATCACCTTTTCATCCGGCTGCGTACAGCACAGCTCCAAGATAAACTGAAAAAGAAGTACACAATCAAGCCAGGAAATGTAATACTGACACATATAAGGTAATAATGTGAAAATAATACACCCTGACAGGGAGATCAGAGAAGAAAGGAGACCCATTTCTCACCCGTCCTCTCAGCCCCAGTGCCAGCTTGCCCTGGTGTCTCACGGTGAGCAGCCCGGGCACAATCTCACAGGCCGATGTCACAAACTCCTCCACAACCCCATACTGCATCACATCCCTCCTCTGCATCACTTTCCAGACGGCTGCAGACACCAGACGCACAGGCGGGGCCAGGAGCTGAAGAGCAGCGAAAGGAAGGCTGGCGTCTGTGCAGGAGACAGAGACAGAGGGACAGCATCTAAATAAGACATGTGTTGATGCTTTTATTGTTGTTGTTGTTGTTGTTGTTGATCAGTGATGGTAATGCAGGGGTCTCCCATCAGCTGTCAAACACACTGATCGAGCTACTACCCGGCTTTGTCTGCTGTTGTGAGGATGTAGCATGACAACCACACCTGCCCCAACCTAAATGAACACCTTAATCATCTTAAATTACGTGTAACAGTGTTAGATTGTCAAAATAAAAGCCTCAAATTGTGATCCAGCCATTAACACCGACCATTTTCCTTAGGTTTTCTTGTGGCCATTCCAGGGAGGTTGGAGAAACTCAACGTTAGCTTAGCAACTTATCTCCGAGCAAGCTCCAAAGCCGACGAGGGAACCGAGACTTTACCAAACCAAAGAAAACCAGGAAACGCTGCTGAGAGGATGTTTACTAAACTCCCGTGTACAGCCCGGTTCCCGCCACTGCTCTTGCTCCTCTCGGTTTCGCTTACCGCTGTTTACCCCGCCAGAGACAAAACAAAGCTAGCGACACTTCTATTAAAACTTCAGCTTCTCATCCTCCCGCCTTCACCGGAGCGACAGCGCGGCGCTTGCATCTGGACGCCGGTGTGCGCCGAAGGGGCGGTGCTTCGCGCATTTGCAGTCAAAATAAAGATAACCCCGCCCGCGCGCGCACTGTGATACGCTAAAACAAGCGTTTTTGAAAATGTCGCACCCGCCCCAGTCGTTGCTCCCAGAATGCTTTGCGAATGTAAACACAATGTTGATGGTTAAAGAACAAAACAACAAAATGAAGGTTTTAATAATAAAAGAGCATTTTAAGGAGCACATAGACACGAATTATGTACCAGTTAAAAGTTGTAGACTGTAAAAGAAAGGATAAAAAACAATACAATAAAAAAAATTAATATTTATATATAAATGTATATATATACTGTTAAAGTCCTTCCTTAACAATTCATCAAACAAATCAGTAATTTATTTAATTTTTTTTAAGACTCAATCAATTTACATTTTATAGGTAGTGTACAGGAAACAATATCTACATTTTGTCCTACAACCTTGCATTGTAAATGACAATAAAATAAACCTTGAATCCTTGAAATATCAGTGTAGTTGTCAGCCGATAAGTCACATAACATTGCATTAGTAGTAATATGTCACCATTACCATACAGTAACCTAGTTTGTCCACCAGAGATCATTGATCATTTTATACTGTAAAAATCAGTCAGGCAATAGAGGTAATAATAATAAAGCTTGTAATTTAGATGTCTCTCTCTCTCTCAGGCGAGATGAACTTTGTCCTGTGTTGTCCTGTATCTGAGTTATCACCAGGTTCGGGGCAAAGTCCAGCTGCTGGGTTGAACACAGGCAGTTCTGAGGTTACGTTACAATTTGTTTCACCAGAACACCTTTCAACAAAATAAGGCTGTGAGAAGAGACAACGAGAGGCTGTCGAGCATGGATGCCACATCTACATTTATCAAGTAAGTGAATAATCTGTTTTGGCCTTTAATATTGTATTTATTGATTTGATTCATGATCTTTTTGCCTGATCAACATAACATAAACAACATTGTGTGGCTGTTGGAGCCCCCAAATGAATGTAGGCTTTAATTAAAGTAATCAACTCAATGATATAACATGTAATTTTACGCTGTGTATACTGGCCTATTATAATGTGTAAGGTAGGGGTGGCAACGGTTAAAGTGAGGTATGAAAACAAGACTTAAAATATTTGCTTATTTCACCTCAAAATGAACAAACAAGGCGAACATTTAAAAACATTCAGAAGTCACTATTACAACAGAAACTGATGATTGAATCTCATCTAATGCAGAAAAAACATTGTACAGATAATAAAAATGAGAATTAATGTGTAAAAAAGACAAGGGGCTCCACTGCACAAAAATAAATCAGGCTTTTCAGAAATGATCAAATGTAAATAATAAAATTAATGATTGCTGAATTCCATTTAGCTGCTTCAGTTTATTGTTTATGCTGGCTCACTGACGTACTGGGACACTCGAAACAGATCAGAGCCATCATAAATGTTCTGCAGTCAAAATGTCAGAGGATCCAACACTTTAAATAATTTAATTACTTTTCTGACTGGTCTTTTTTCAGATCTGTAACCAAGCGAGTGTGGTCTCCGCCACAGCGCCCCTTCAGAGTGTGTTGCCACAACAGGGAGACCAGGAAGGGCATCACAGCCGGGACCCTGGAGGAGCTGAAGGAGAGGGTGAGAGTGACTGTAAAAGATCACTAATGGAAAGAAATAAAAGAAACAGTTCTTATTAGGGTAAAACGTTTTACAGGATTCAAAATTTAGAGAAGAAAATGTAAAAAGAAATAAATAATGATAAAAAAAGTACTAAAAATTGTTTATAAATGATAAAAAAAAACAAATTAAAAAAGGAAACATAAGCATTTTCTTTCAAGACTGTAGCATAAAACTGAATTATAATGTTTCGTAACACTAAAAATACTGTCAATAATCAGTGGATTCAACAACTAAATTAAAACATAATGTTATGTTGTCTAAAAAATCCCATCAACGATGTTTCATTGTCTTGACAATAAGACAAAAAGACAATAAGACAATAAGATATGACACAATCAGCCTTGATGATGTGAAATATGTGATCACATGTAGTCATGAGTCAAGGCTGCACTCACAGTGGTATAAAGATAAGATGTCTGAAGTGTAGCCTGCAGAAGTTTGAATATCAGTTATATGTAAGTCTATAACATGCTCACTGGAACGTTGCACAATTTATAGTTAAATTGTAACATGAAGATGTTTGATAGAAAACAGCTTCATCTTTCTATGAGATGTTGCTCTTGTTTCTGAGAGGCTGAAAAGCTATTTTCTATGTAACTGGATTCCATACTGGTTCTCTGTCATACTTTATGTTAAACTGCATTCTACGTGGGATTAAAACGGTCTTAAAAGGTCCTGGTGTTGATTGATTCTCACTCACTATCTCACATTAATCCAGAGCAACTTGAATCTGTGCTGTAGGTATGCCAGGTTTTGCTGCTGTCCCTGTCTGCCGTGTCTCTGTCTCTGGTTTGTGAGGAGGACGGCACGGAGGTTGACTCCGAAGAGTTCCTCATGACCCTGCCCGACAACACCATGCTCATGGCCCTGCAGCCCGGACAGACATGGAGACCACAGCCAGTACGTCTGACCAAAGAAGCCGCATGTTATTGTTTATAAAGCCCCATATGTGTTCATCTTATACCTTTACACAGGCTCCTTTAATGTGACCGTTGTCTCTGATCCTCCAGGGTTCAGTTGTGCCCAGATCTCAAGACCACAACAAGCCTCGGACCGGGAAGGACATAGCTCGTGTCACCTTTGACCTGTACAAGATGAGCCCGAAGGATGTCTTTGGCTCCCTGAGTGTGAAGGCCACATTTCAAGGCATTTACTCTGTGAGCGCTAACTTTCAGTGTCTGGGGCCCAAGAAAGTCCTCAGGTAAGCCGAGGGGAAGGGGGTGAAGGATCTTACAAATAATAAGTAACAGAGAAACTACATTAAAAAGAAGTTTTAAGTATTTGTTATAGCAGTAAAAAGCACAAATCAGAGTAATACTTTGTCACAGGAAATACTTGCTTCAATCAGAAGTCAATAAGCTCTTTCAAAGTCCACATTTAGTGGACAATGCCAGAGATAAAAACATACTGATGACACTTTATCTCGGCTCTGTTCCTCAGAGAAGCCCTGCGTGTGGCCTCCACCCTCCTACATGCTGCTGGACACCTGCTTATCACCTCCGCCTCCATGATCCGCCGCATTATCGAAGGCGCTGAGCTGTGGCAGCCACAGAAGGGAGAGTACACTGCCAGCTGGAACTGACAGAGCAGAGAGAGACCTATGTATCTGTAACATAGAGCGACTAGCATCTCGCTGGGTAGCCACTGTGTTGTATAATTGTTCTGCTGTTTACCTCCTTAAAATTAGGGGAAAGTAACCACTTTTTATGACATGAACATCTCTTGAGGTAGTGTCTGTAAATGTCCTTAAATAGTTTGACTATGCTTGAGGTTATAAACAGAATGTAAAAGACAAATCTTCAAGGATTAAGTGTCAGAAACGGTCTTTATTAACAACAGAGGACACTTAGTGATGTAGCTGGATAACAAGAGAATGAATGTCATAGCTATTAATGTAGTTTTCTATTTCTTGTGCAATATATTTTCCATAATATCCTAGAATTGTACTTTATTTTTGTTAATTTTGGTGTGGATTACGGGCTGGCAGGTGAACTTTCTTGAAAAAAAGAAATATTACGTAACTGAGAACATCCATTTTGTAGTTTATGAACGCCATTGTTGTAACTAATCAGTCATGTTCGAACAAAAAGCAATAACAGTGTTAACTTGAATGTCAATAAAAAAAACATCTTCACAGCACAAACAAGAAACTTACACGTTAACAAACATGTTAAGTGAGTATAACAACAATACACTACCTTTTATCAAACATCTGTGTAATAGAAGCTGTCTTGAAGTCCAACATAACAAACAGTTCCACCCTCATAAACCACGTTTTTGATGAATCTCTCCAAACATTGAGATATGATCAATCTTCGATCCCCCCCTGGTGGAATATTAGCTACACAGAGTGGCAACATTTCCACTCTGGAGGCGCCTACACGCTCTCATCCTCGCCGCAGCTCTCACTCCTGTCAGGCTTCACCTTGCAGGTGGCTTTTCTGCCGCCCTCGCTGGGCTGGGCCTTTACCAGCGTGCTCAGGCACTGCCGGTACTTGATGTTGGCCAGCGCCTGGCTGTGCTGCTCCCGATTCATCCAGCCCGGCTTCACTTTCTTGAGGTAATAGCGCATGTCACCGAACCACTGAACCAACTCGTAGCGGGGGACGCCAATCAGATTCACCAGTAGGTTGTAGTCATCGCTGTCCGGATACTGGCAGTGCAAGAACGCCAACCTCATCATGTCCAACTGGGACTGCGTCTTCGTGCGGGGCCGAGTGCCGTCTGCAGAAGCAGGGCTATTGGTCTCTTCTATGAGCTCCTTCAGTAGGCCAACATCAGTGACGGTACCACTGTGGTTTACTGACTCTGCCCACAGTTCTCCATCCAGCTTAGCCTCCATTTCTGTTTTCCCCTCAAAGCCGCTTTTCAGAGGGGTCATGTGAATACTGGGCATCTGGTTGTCAGTGAGTGGAGGCAGACCAAAGGCAGGAGTTAGAGACAGGGGCGTGAGTGGAGAACGCACGTCCAGCCCCTCATCAGGCACCACAAAGCTCTTGTGGGCCGGCCACTCTTGGACAGACAGTAATCTTTTGCTTGCTTTTGCCTTCTTTTTCTTTCCGGTGAGAAGCGTTGTCTCCGACTGTGGGAACTGGATTTTGGTGGGCTCCCTCTCAACTTCATCACCTGTTATTTCTACTTGTCCTGCTCTCTTCTTTCGCTTCTTGTCGCCCACTTTCACCCTTTTCCGCTTTTTCTGAGTATTCCTCTTGTCTTCCTCTAGTTCTTCTACTTTTCTGTCCTTCTCTTTCTTCGTTGGCTGCTCCTGCTTCATTTTTCTCTCCCAACGCTCATTAGCCCTCACATTTTTTTCCATCATCCTTCCCTTGCTCGCACTCTGTTGCTCCCTAACGTCTCCTCTATCCCTTTGCAGCGCTTCCTTTCTCTGACTTGACTTTAACGTCCTCCGAACCTTGTTGATATCTTTATAGTCCCAGCTGATGCCGTAGCGGAGCCGCTGTACCATGAACCACACCTTCACATGGTCTGGGTGCAGGGAGCAGCGCTGTGCCAGTGCATCCGTCTGTTTCTGCGTTAGGTATGGGAACCTATCGAAGGCCTTGTCCAGCTCTCCTGCACCATCCAGCTGCAGGTTGACCTCATTAGAGTGGACCCAGATAAGCCTCTTACTGTCAGACACCAGGGGGAGACACAGTATACTGTTCTGGTTCAGACTTAAAGCCTCTGGGTCGATGTTCATTTCTGATAAAGTCCCTCCAGGAGTGGCATTTGTCTTTTGTCTGAGCCCATCAGCTGTCTGCCTCATCTTTCTCTTCTGTGGTAATGTCACCTGCAAAGGGTAGAAAAACGAAAAGGGTTAATATCCACAGTAGTTATGACACTATATACTGCAGGTAGACACAGATTTTTCTACAGTTTATCCAGTGGTAGCTGCATCTTATTATATATATATTATATTATATAATATTTCTGGTTGTATTCAGCAATTGTGGGTTAGAAGGATTATTTAAATGTCAGTCTGATAAAGTACTACACAGGGTAAACCTAAAGGCTCTTATAGTTAAATCTACAACTGAATTTCCAGAAAATATCCTGTATCAAGATACTGCAATATAAAATATATATAAACAGTCAGAGGAGATAGAGGTGTTATTTATTGTGAGTTGACAGCCGTGTTACCAAGCTAACTTTGGAAAAATTCACATATTATGAGCAAAATATAATTAAATTATCAAAAGATTTATTAACTTTTTCACTTTATTACGTTAGAAAAACGTAAATTATTCATATATTTTATTGTAAGAGCTGATGTATCAATGTGGTGGCAGCACTTTCTTTCTGTCAGTCATTAGTAGTTCAGAACAGAAACTATTAATAATAAATATTAATATTAATAATAATGTAAAGAAAATAAATTAGAGGAGTAACATTAACACGTGTGTGATTAGCATTATTTTGGCTAACGGTAGCTAAACTCCTTTTCTTTTACTTTTGCGCAATTAACGTTAAGTCTAACGTGGCTACAGGAGTCTACGGTAACAATCAGTAACATACCGATGATCGATTACCACCGCTGATCGATTGAGCTGCGGCTGCGCACCAGAGGAATCGTCCGTTTGTTAGCATTAGCTGTAACGTCAGCGAGCTAAAATATCACGTAATAGCTGCGCGGTACTTTACTGCGCACTCGGCGCAGTCAGTAATTATTGATCTTCTCTTTGGCAGTATTAAAAACAACTATTATATATATTATCAATAACTTCATTTATGGATGGTTTCTTACCTTTAAGCGCACTGTCTGATAAAACCCGCCCAGTGCACCCAGATATTATAATTAATACTTAATATAAAGTTATATTAACTCAGGAATGCATTTTTATTATCTCTATTATTTATTTATTGCAATGCTTCATTCATATTTTTCCTACCACTGTTTGTTTACATCAATGTCCTCTGCATGTTTATATATAAATATATACAAACATACACCTTTTTTCATTTTTTAAATCAAACTAAACTATTAAACTACAATAGAATAGTACAAAAGATTAAAAACAACCCAAATTTAACAAAAAATAAAGTACAATTCTAGGATATTATGGAAAATATATTGCACAAGAAATAGAAAACTACATTAATAGCTATGACATTCATTCTCATGTTATCCAGCTACATCACTAAGACAGTTTCTGACACTTAATCCATAAAGATTTGTCTTTTACATTATGTTTATAACCTAGTACAACTATTTAAGGATAGAAGAATATAGTACACAGTCATACAATCACCCTGTAGAAGACTATCACTGGTAACATTTACAGATACTATAACTCAAATACATCCGAGAGAGAGAGAGAGAGAGAGAGAGAGAGAGAGAGAGCGCAAAGGAAAGAAAATTGATGAAAAAAACAAAACAAACAAAAGGGAGTGATGGGATCGGGTAGCTCAAGATATGAGCTACCCTATCATAATACATAATGTTTTATGGATTCTATCTTTGTGAGTACACCTTATTCCATTTCCCTATCTATTATAATCTCATAGTGCATTCCTCCTGGGTTTGTCTTTGAAATGGGATTTTCAAAACGTTACAAGATGATGAAAATGTGTGAGTTACACTTAGCTGTGACTTTTGCAGGCCACAACAGCCCTGCAGTAAATCCCACCTCTATTAAAGTAATATTACATTTTTATTGAAAGTGTTTACAGACATGTTGATTCAACTTTATGGTTGTAGTTGCCCTCTGTGGTCTGGTGGATTGTACAATTGGAAACAACCTCAGCCAGGACAGTTTACCAACTCAAGCTGTCTCCACAATAGCTTAACATTATAATTTTAATGAAGGTTGGAATCCATTGGCTGCATTAGTTGTATTAATCTTGGTTTACCTTTTAAACTGGGTGTAGATTCTATCTGCAGTAGATTATTAATTTTAAGGTAATCTTATCATAAGGTGAGGTTTTTATGGCCCGTATAGGGCGGAAAAGTGACACTGACTGTACTGCTATAAAAGAGCTGGAGAGTACAGCTCAAGTTATTGCACCAGACTCTGAGGGACCAGCAACAAGCAAACAGCTGATTCGAGACCCGTATATTATATTCAGGGCAGAATCAATCTTTTGTTTACAAGGGCAACCTGAGGACAGAGACTCAATAGCATTTAATTCCAAGATCTTCTAGCTTATGAAAACATGTCTGGCAAAATGCATCGACAAGTTATTCTCTGTGACATGTGTACAGAGGAGGACAGGAAACCAGCACGGAAGACCTGCATGAAATGTGAGATCTCCATGTGCGTCCAGCACCTCCAGGCCCACCTGACCACTCCGGTCTTACTACAAACTCATCCTCTGACTGAACCCATGGCTTTATGTGGAACCACCAAATGCCCCCAACATGACAAACCACTGGATTACTACTGCTTGGATGACTTGACCTGTGTATGTGTTTCCTGTGCCATTGAGGACCAGCACCGCTTACACAACATGAAGACCTTCTCCACAGCCCACAAAGAGCTCATGGAGAAGCTCAATGCTGAGCAGCAGGCCTTACTGGTGAAAACAGATGATGAGAATGTGAGTCTGGAAAAGTGGGAGAAGAGTGAGAGAGAGAAGCTGGGTCGCTCGAGTGTGCGCCTCATTGAGGCTGTGACTAACCTGCGTGACATTGCTCTGACCAGTGTCCAGAGTTCAGTCTCTGCCCGTATGGTGTCTATCAAAACCAGCAAGAGCAGCATGCAAGCAGCCCAGAAGGAGAAGGACTCCTTCAGATTCCTGCAGATGTATTCTCAGGTGCATCAGGATGTGGAGAAGGCCAAGGCCGTGGATCTGAGAAAAGGGTTGGAGCCCGGCAGTGATCGTAACAAACTGGTTCAGGAGATAAGACAGAATGGTGAAAAAATAGTGAAGCAAGCAGACCACTTGTGGGGATCCCTGTTGTCTCTGGTTGACCCAGAGAACCAGCAGGAGGTAATATCTTCAAGTTCAGACCTGATCTTTGACCCTCAGATTCTGGGCCCTGGCATGTCACTCTCTGAAGACAACAGGAAGGTTTTCTACAGTAGTTGGCTGGGTCAATGTTCTGCTCAAATGTTTCACATTCAGAACCGTAACCCCACACGGTCTGATCCTAGCTTTCACAGCTGGGTGATCAGCCTCTCCAACGACTTTGACTGGACTATCGGTTTATGTGACAAAAACTATGCAAAGGGCATGAACTATGGAGACGTATATGGACTGTGCCTCAAAGGTGACCAGCTCAGCTCTCTCATAACAGATACAACAGAAACTCGCCCTATACGTACTTTTGGGAGGCAAACAACTAGAGGGTCCAGGATTGGGGAAAGGCAACAAGTTTCCTGTCAGGTGATCAACAGTCTAGGTGAAAATGTGGCCCGACCACGAGAAGTGGAAGTGGTATGGAGCCCTCCTTACTCATTATCGTTCTTCAGCAGGATTGGCCAGCACCACAGAAGAGAGATCGTCACAATAACGATCAGTTCCAGGAACTCATACCTAGACCCTTTTGTTTCCTTGGAAGAGAAACAATCACAAATGGGCTTAATTAAGTCAAGGGTAGCCTCTTCTAGAGTTCCAATATCAGGTCAACAACAACGCCAGCAGATGTGGAGATGCTCATGTGGGAGGGGTTACAATGAGACCAGTGATGAATGCTCTCCCCAGAGGTCTTCCCAGGCCAAATGTTCTTGTGGAAAACTTATTGGTCCTTTGCGCATCACAAAGGTTCTTTGTGAACTTCTGTAATGGACTGCCATGTTGTTGTTTGTAGCCCACAGCACCACATTTCATTTCAGACATTGTTAACTGTGTGCATTTCAATATCTACCAACAGAGTGTGATTTTTTTTCTTGGTTTCCTTTGGTGAATTTGTAATTGTCATTGATTAGTGCAGTTAAATAAACAAATATAGTGCTGTCAGGCTAAAGATCTCAGTTATAGTTATAACACATGGGAATCAAGTTTAAAGTAGGATTTTTCAGAAAAAGTGGAGCAAATCTGAAGATGCAAATATGATTGAATATAAATCAAGAAAATTTCAATTAATATGATGAATTAATTTTATGATTTTATGCTGGATGAATATGAGTTGATAAATGTCTGAATTTCAGTTTGCTTACTTTTTTCCCCAAAAAGTCTTGATATCTTTCACACCAGCATGTGTTGCATAAATACATTTCCCCTCCCCCTCATTCTTGATGTGTGAAACGAAACTTAACTGACTGACTCCACCTCTTGAGTGTTTCGATTGGCAGAAATTGAAACTGTTGTGCAGAGCCGACGTGGCAGAGCATTCAGACCACAGACTGTAGTTATGGGAATTCCGGCTCTTTTTAGAGAACCGGTTCATTTGGCTCGGCTCACTTAAAAGAGCCGGCTCTTTCAGCTCCCAAGTGACTCCTCAGATTTTTTGTTGCTTAAATTAATTTATTACCAAATTATGTGTAAAATGAATATCTAATGCAAATACATGCATTATATCAAATGTTTATTATTTTTATGGATTTATTAATTAAAAAAAACGGTTGGCTTTGGCTCAGAGGCAGAGCGGGTCATTCCTTAATCGGAAGGTTGTGGGTTCAATCCCCGGCTCCTGGTGCCACATGTCAAAGTATCCTTGAGCAGGATACTGAACCCCAAATTGCTCCTGATGCCATGCATTGGTGTGTGAGTGTGTATGAATGTTAGTTTCTGTTCGATGGACTTTGCCATCACTGTGTGAATGTCTGTGAAAGGGTGAATGTGGCATGTAGTGTAAAAGCGCTTTGAGTGGTCAGAAGACTAGAAAGGCGCTATACAAGTACAGGTCCATTGACCAATTCAATTTTATTTGTATAGTGCCAATTCATAACAGAAGTTATCTCATGACACTTTTCAAATAGAGCAGGTCTAGACCGAACTCCTTATAACATTTACAGAGACCCAACAGTACCACCATGAGCAAATATATACTTAATATACTCAACATGGAACAGAGTGCTACAAAAATAAATTATAAAATACGAAAACAAAGACCTATCTCAATTAGACAAAAATCTGCTAGATATGAAATGTTTAACTTTGCACAGTCTACACTCTGCCTGTGAACTGTCTATCACTTTAAAATGTGTCCAAACTTTACTACATTTTCTGTCACTCATTTTCCTCACCTTTCCAGTGTGTAGTCTCTGTCTATGTAGCACTTAGTTCTCTCTCTCTCTCACAGGTCTCCCTCCCACCTGTTTGTGTGCTCACTGTGCCTGTGTCTGTAACCCCTCCCTCCCCCCTCCTGCTCAGTGTAGATACACAGATGCCACCATACATCTTGACCAATCGCGCAGCTTTAACAGAAAAAACAGGGAAAAAAAGGGTAAAAAAATCCGGATCCAAAGAGCCGGCTCTTAGAGCCGGATCGTTCGCGTCCGACCCATCACTTACAGACTGAGAGACCAGAAAGGCGTCAACAACTAAATTCAGTCAAGTCAGAGTCAATAAAAGAGCAACGAGGAGGATCCTGAGGACTTTGTTTAGCGCTCAATAATATTCAAGAAAGATCATCACAGGACTTCCAGCTTTTGAAAACATGTCCGACAATATACAGAAGGACTCACAAGTTATCCTCTGTGACATGTGTACAGAGGAGGACAGGAAACCGGCACGGAAGACCTGCATGAAATGTGAGATCTCCATGTGCGTCCAGCACCTCCAGGCCCACCTGACCACTCCAATCTTACTACAAACTCATCCTCTGACTGACCCCATGGCTTTATGTGGAACCACCAAATGCCCCCAACATGGCAAACTACTGGAGTACTACTGCTTGGATGACTTGACCTGTGTATGTGTTTCCTGTGCCATTGAGGACCAGCACCGCTTACACAACATGAAGACCTTCTCCACAGCCCACAAAGAGCTCATGGAGAAGCTCAATGCTGAGCAGCAGGCCTTACTGGTGAAAACAGATGATGAGAATGTGAGTCTGGAAAAGTGGGAGAAGAGTGAAAGAGAGAAGCTGGGTCGCTCTAGTGTGCGCCTCATTGAGGCTGTGACTAACCTGCGTGACATTGCTCTGACCAGTGTCCAGAGTTCAGTCTCTGCCCGTATGGTGTCTATCAAAACCAGCAGGAGCAGCATGCAAGCAGCCCAGAAGGAGAAGGACTCCTTCAGATTCCTGCAGATGTATTCTCAGGTGCATCAGGATGTGGAGAAGGCCAAGGCCGTGGATCTGAGAAAAGGGTTGGAGCCCGGCAGTGATCGTGATAAATTGGTTCAGGAGATAAGACAGAAAGGTGAAAAAATGGTGAAGCAAGCGGACCACTTGTGTGGATCCCTGTTGACTCTGATTGACCCAGAGAACCATCAGGAGCTTGTTGCAACGAGTTCAGACCTGATCTTTGACCCTCAGATTTTTGGTCCCAGTATGTCGCTGTCTACAGACAACAGGAAGGTTTTCTACAGTAGTTGGCTGGGCCAATGTTCTGCCACTCTTCTACTCCGTAGTACACAAACAGTTCCCAACTTCCAGAGCTGCATGGTCAGTCTTTCCCAAGACTCTGACTGGACCATTGGATTATGTGACAAACAGTCTGCAAAGAACTTCAAGAATGGGCATGTCTATGGTCTGTGCTGCAAAGGTAACCAGTTCAGCTCTCTCACAACAGAGTTTGATGATTGTGGTGATGCATCAGAGAAACAATACTCAGTTTCCTCTGAATTAGTCACATATGAGGACATAAATGGAGATGAGGTTGTACCAAAGCTTGAAAAGGTGGAAGTGTTTTGGAACTTTCCTGCTTCCACGCTGTCCTTCTTCAACAGAATTGGACAGTACCAGAGGGAAGAAATAATCACAATTAAGATGAGCATCAACAACTGGGACCTGGTCCCCTTTGTTCAAGTAACAAAGGAAAATGTGTCCCAGCAGCAATGGCAGTGCCCCTGTGGGAAGACTTATCGCAAAAACGGCAATCAGTACAGCGATGGTAGGCGCAACTACTCTCGTCCGGCTAATTGTTCCTGTGGAGCATTTATTGGTGGCATATGCACCACAGAGATGATTTGTGAACTTGTGTAAATTTTGGGACACCACTGATCATTGTCGCTAAGTTCACAGCTACAAATAGGTATGGTAATAATGTCTTTTTGCTTTTATTGGATGAATATAAATCTCACTGATTCGTGTTAAGTTGCTGTCAAATGAAAATATAGTGCTATTAGTGAAAATATCAGTAATAACTGAATGTTGTGGTTGTTTTTAGAGTAAAAAAAAAATTATAGGTAATGTAATATCTTCAGCTGAATGTCTCTTCATTGTTATGATGTGATTTTGTTTTTGGGAGTTGTTTCTAATGTACCCAACAAGATCATTTAGTTTGAACTTCATTGTTTCCACTTATTTCTCCCTCCCAGTTTAAGGTGTTTGCTTCCATCTACTGGTGGTAAATGTGTCATTTCTCTCACACAGTACAGTTATCATACAGTGCATGGGTCTTATTAAGTCACAATGGCAACAAGGATTGTATTTTTTGTATCGTACATACATTGTGAATGCTCTGATCAATAATAAAGCCAGTAAGATATTAAGATGTGGAATGTTTTTATTGACTGGTTCAATCATGAAGTGAAAACAAATGAAACAACACAGAGCATGTAAGAACAACTTGAAATGGAGTAACTACAGACAGTGTGTGAAATGAAACCACACCCAATACTCATGGTGTAAAACATGGTTAACTCTAAGAAATTACCGCTTGATTTATGAGTTTTAATGTTTCATAAATGTATATAAATGTGTACATCACTAACATAAACCCTTACAAACT